TTCTCCTAATTCCTTACCTTCCCTCCCCTACTTTGTTCTCTGTGTGAGGTTTTCTCTACTTGATCTTCTTTTTTTTTTTTGAGACGGAGTCTGGCTCTGTCGCCCGGGCTGGAGTGCAGTGGCCGGATCTCAGCTCACTGCAAGCTCCGCCCCCCGGGTTTACGCCATTCTCCTGCCTCAGCCTCCCGAGTAGCTGGGACTACAGGCACCCGCCACCTCGCCCGGCTAGTTTTTTGTATTTTTTTTTAGTAGAGACGGGGTTTCACCGTGTTCGCCAGGATGGTCTCGATCTCCTGACCTAGTGATCCGCCCGTCTCGGCCTCCCAAAGTGCTGGGATTACAGGCTTGAGCCACCGCGCCCGGCCTTGATCTTCTTATCTGCCCCATGGTCTTGTCATTTTCATTATCGTCAAAGAGCCCTCTGCTCTTCATTCCTGGCATCCTGCTCTTGTTTTATGGGTGTAACATCTTCTATTATCTTAGAGAGGAAGGCTTACGTTTTCTTTGGAGGGAGTTTCTTTCTTTCTGTCACGGGCTGCTGGAGCTGTGCCCCCACCCCACACTTCCTCCCGTCTCCGCCTCTGCTGGCCTCTGTCTCTCAGGCACAGGGCTTTCCTCAAACATCTGCTGCTGGTGGTTGATTTGCTTCTGCTTCTATTGAGGAGAGAGGCCTTATGCTGGTGGGAGGCCCAGGTGCACACGCCCTGAGCACAGGTGTCTCACTGGGAGGGCCCTCTGGGACCCCCAGCCCCACGCCAGGTCCGTATCCTGAAGTCTCTCCTGAATGACGGCTGGTTTCTGCAGTGGTCTCTCTCCATCTCCTCACTGAGATGCTGGTCTGCTCCTGGTGCCTGGAGCCAGTGAAGGGGAGGGGCTGAGAGCTCAGACTCCTTTCAGCAGCTGGCCATGCTGTCCGGGCCACAGTGCCACAGAGGTCGGTCAGATTCCCTGCAGCAGCCTCGTGGGCCAGTGGCAGACCTGCTCCCCAGTAAAGGCAGCCCTGACTTGCTGAGTGGGGGCTGCCAGGAAAGCTCCTTCAAGCATGCACAGGGCAGAGGGAGCTGCAGGCTGTCTGTCTGTCTTTCCTGTCTCCCCATGTGTGTGAGCCCTTGCAGGGCAGGGACAGTTTCCTGTTCGTGTCCCCACAAACAGTCGGGCTCAGTTCCGGCACTAAAAAGCAAATGCCTGCCTCGGCACGTGCTCTGCCCTGGTCTCCTTACCTTGATTCTGTGTCTTCCCAGAGAGGCCCTGGTGTTCCGTGCCAAGAACCAACTTGCAAGGGGACTTTGCTCAAAGTGAGCAGAGGCTGGGCCAGGGCAGCCCACAGAGGTTCCAGGCCTGTCTGTGCCACTTTTTGGGCGACTTCCTGCTGCTTCTGCTCAGGGTGGGCTGGAAAGGACCTCCCATGGCTGAGCCCTGGGACCCAGAGCTGTCTCTTTTCCCTTTACCACTGAATACCCCACCCTGGTATCCCTGACGCATATAGTTACAGGGCACGAGGGACTTGTGCAGGAGGAGGCGTGTAGCAGAGGTGAGTAGGTGGAATCCGTGGTCTCTGGCCAGTCTCAGGGGCCCCTGCCCAGCCTGTCCGTTCCTGTCTGCACTTGGCCTTGGCTGATCTGCCGGATCTCAGACCCAGCCTTGGTCGGGTGGGCCACTCTGCAGTCCCGCCCTCCTGCCCCCTCATTCTTCTGGAGAGATGGGCTTCTAGTGACTCTAGTGGGTGCCAGCCCCATCCCTCCTACATCCCCACAGCAGTACAGTGTCCCAGCTGAGGCCTGGGGCTCTGAGCACAGCTGCTTTCATGGCCACCAGGACCTAATTGCCCAAGTTTGCTGCCCCTCCAGTTAGGACGCTGCACGGGCCTCCAGCTTCATGTGGTCCCACCCTCGGGCATTTCTGTCCCTCCTACCCTGGCCTCTAGGTCTGGCTAACCCCACTCGGCCCAGTGCGGCGTGGCCTCTCTAGCACCTGTCCATCCAACCTCAGTGCATGCAAACTCAAGCCACAATGATGCCCTTGTACTCCGGTAATTCTGCCCAGCCAAACTTGACTCAGTCACATAATCTGGGGGGAGGACTTGGTTTTGTAAATCATGCAGCACACATCAGCCAGCTCCGTTTGCAAGGTGGCCAGAGGTTCAGCTCTGCGGCCTGCACTGGGGCAGTTTTGCCCCCCAGGGCACATTTGGCAACGTCTGGAGACACTGCTGGTAGTCAGGAGTCCTGGCTACTGGTCGGCAAGGCTGCTGGAGACCTGTTATCTGGATCAAGGCCCCTAGGGCTGCGGTGGGGAAACCCTGGGCAGCTAAGCAGAGAGCCACCCTGCATGGTGGGGACGGGGAAGTGCATTTGGCCCTCCCACCTGGACGTAGCCAGCTCAGCCCAAAGCGCATTCCAGTCACTCCCCAGCTCCGGCTCTGAATGAGACGTCCCATAAACCCAGGCACTGTCCCTGGCTCTGTTGCCACTCACGGGGTTCCCCCAAAGGGTGGGAATCACAGCCTGCCTCTGACAGGTGCCTACGCGGGGGATAGGTCCCCTGCCACCCAACCAGGTGCAGAGGGAACGTGGCCTGCCTGGGTGGGACTGCTGGCCAGGCCCTGTCCTGACCTGGATGGCTGTCCCCAAACAGGGACGGGGGGGCAGTGGGGCTTCTGGCCTCGGCCAGGGAGTCACTAGAAATAAGGACACTGCTCCAGACAGACGGTCCCCTGCGCTAAGGACAGGAGCAGCCCAGATCCATCCGGAAACCAAAACTAAAATTCAGACCCAAACTCACGGGGAGCGCCTGCACCTGGATCACAACGTGAACACAGATGGCCATCCTCAGGATGGGGACCCGCGCTCCACATGTGAGCTGTGGGGACCCTGGCACGCCGCTTCTCACTGCTTCACTTCTGTGCCTCGGTTTCCTCATGTGTAGGTGGAAAGTGCTTCCCACATAGGGTGGTCCTATGGGTGAGAGACGGCCCCTGGAGAGCCAGTGCCCTCAGGGAGGCACCCCCAGCAAGGGTTTCTCCCCAGTGTCCAGGTTGGGGGAGTGGGGAGGGCCCATCCCACCCTCCAGGTGACTTTGGTACAGGTGACTTACTTCTTCTAGGAAGCCCCCAAGACACCTCCCTTCCAGCAGGACTGGGTGGGTGGGGAGTGCCCACCTTCAGCCCACAGCTCCTGCTCTGGACAGTACCTTTCACCCTGTTCCCCTCTGCTGGCCGTGGGCATCGCATAGCAGGGACCACATCTGCCTGGCACACTTGTGGGTCAACATCTTCTAACTCCTCAACACTCCTACTAGTCCCATTTTACAGATAAGGAGACTGAGGACCCAAGAGCTGTTAAGTTCACAAAGAGCCAGGATGTGATGGGCACACCTGGGAACTATGCCATGGAGATGTCAGGGCCTGCAGCCATGCACAGCACCTGGACCCTGTTGCTGGTCCAAGCCAGGCCCACATGCACCCCCTAGGCCCCCATGTTAGGTGGTACACACACTGTTCCCCTCAAGGACACAGAGAAGATTCAGGCCTCAATTCAGGTCAGATGCAGAGGCCACCAAGACCTGCCATCACTGCCACTCCCTCGGTCCCCCCACCTACTCAAATCTCAAAAGGGAGCCTGTTCCCATTTCACAGACGCAGAGAGAGGCTGAGCAGGCAAGACAAGCCGCCACGGCTCCCTGGTAGGTGGGACGCCCCCCTCCCCCTCCCTGCCTCCCTTCTCAGGGGAGACAAAGCAGGTCCCTCCCTGCCACCGCCCACCAAGTCCACGGGGTGGGGGAGGGGCGTGTGGTTTGGGTTTGTCTGGGGTGTTGGGTTCTTCCTTCTTGGAGCTTTTCTGAACTTTTGGGACCAAAGCAGGTTTGGGCGTCAGATTCCCCAAAGAGCTCCCGGGAGGGTCGTTCTGTTCTGCCCCCCACCCCATGCTCTTTCAAACTCTCTGGGGCTTCCAGCGTCCTCCGCGCTCAAATCGGAACCCAGGTTCCGGTTGCATGCAAGTTTTCCTTTAGGAAGAGGAAGCGGCCACTGGGGGTCGAGAGCGGGCAGCGAGCGAGCGTGCAGGGGCAAGCAGGGGGCTGCCTGGGGGCGGCTTAGCCCGCGAACCCCGCCCCTCCCGCCCCGGCGGAGGCACAGGAGGGTCGCGAAGTTGTTGCGGCTCCCGGGGCGGGGCTTGCGGGAAAAGCGAGGGGAGGAGAGGCGCCCCCGGGTTCCCGGCGCCTCCCCCGGGCTTACCCCCCTCCCCCGGCTCCCCCGAGCCCCGGCTCACCTGTCTCCCGGCTCACCTGTCCCCCAGGCTCTCACCTGCGCCGCAGGGCGGAGGGACGGAGGGGCGGCGCGCGGACGGTGCAGCTTCCAGCGCCGGATCCCCTCCTATCCTGCAGCCGCCTCGCTCCTGCGGCCGCGCGGTCCGGCCCGGGGCGCCTCCTGCACTTCCTGCGCTGTCTGGCGGGAGGGCGGCGGCTGCGGCCCCGCAGGTGGGCGCTGGGCGGGCGGGGCGGCTCCGGGTCCGAGGGCTCGGCCGGGGAGGGTCGGGGAGGGGGCGGGGCGCGTCCCGGGCACCTGTGGCGGCGCCGCCTGCGTCACAGGTCACAGCCCCACCTGGGCCGGCTGGAGCCCACGTGATCGCCCGGACTGGATCGCGCTTCTCGATTCCCTCCGAGCCGCCGCCGCCCGGTGCCTGCGCCTTCCCTCCCCGCGCCCACGCCCCCTCGAGGCCGGCCCGGGCGTCGCCTGCCAGACGTGGGGCCGGAGCGGCTCGGCTCCCTCCTGCGTCACTGTCCTTCCAGGCCCCGCTCCACCGCCTCCTCCAGGAAGCCTTCGGGGAAGGAGACCAGCCTTGCGGGGACCGATGTTGGCTGTAGAAAGGCCCGGCCCTGGCCTTCTGGATTCTTGGAAGCCAAGCGGCCAAAGACAGCCAAGAGGGCGCAAAGCACTCTGGCCACCTTCTTGGTGTGGTTGAGTGGCGGTCATCCCCATTTCACAGAGAAGGACCGAGTCCTGGAAAGGAAGGCTCTAGCCAGCGTGCACACGGCTGAGCCTGGACTCCGAGGCTGGCCTTTCCTTGCTCCGCCTGCTGGGAACGAGTGTGAAGGTGAGGGAGGGCCCCCCAGCTGGGGGTTCAGGAATCAGGCTCCCTGGTGCTGTGGGAGGGGCTGGGGGCTGAGCCAAGCCTCCCAAGCTTGGGCCTGGCCATTCAGGAATGTGACCTGAGGTCCCAGGGCTCAGACCCACTTCTGACCTGCCTTCCTCATCCCCTTTTCAGGAAAGGCCTGTTGCCAAAGGCTTCCGTGTGAACATCCACACTGGGCTTTGGATCAGCTTCCACTGGCGTCCCCTCACTGACCCCAGGCCTCGGGGCGTGGGCCGGGCACCTGTGTGCCAGCCAGAGGCACTGACCGTCCTCCCTCCCAGGACCTGCCTCCCTGGGCCGGGCAGCCCTGAGATCCCGTTGCGGGGTGAGGAGACACCGCAGGCTCTGGGGCTGTAACTTGGCATCTTCTCAGGTGTCATGGTTAGAGGGACTGCCTGCCCTTCTCCTTCTGCACTGGTCGCCCCACCCACTAGTCCCCCAGGGTCTGCCCTGCGGCAGGGGCTGCCTGGGTGTCAGGTGCCACCTGGGCAGGGCACAAACTGGCCTCAGGGATGGGTCCCATGGGCCATCCGTCCTCCAGGGGGCGGGATGAGGGAGGAGCTAAGAGCTGACCCCTGTGGGCGGCAGCCTCCACCTGGAGCCGTCTGCGGGGAGGTTCCACTTCCAGGCAGCTCCTGGAAAAGGCAGGTGGCTGCTGCCCTCCAGAGTCCATGATGGGTACTGCACCTACGAGGCCCAGCTTGCCGGAGGGAGCTGGGGTGACCCGGAGCCTTGACCCTTGAGGGGACTGAGGTGCGGTGGGGTCACTGAGGCCCCGTGGGGGGACGGAAGCCTTGCATCAGGCCACTCAGTGGGACCCAGGTTCCCGATTCCCACTGAGTGCTTTCCTGTAAAACCCTCTTTCAGAAGCTGCCTCCGAGTTACCCCCAACCCCACACCTTCTGTCCAGGCCCTGCTCGGCCCGTCCAGCCATCTTGGGTCTGGCTCTGTCTCTCCATGTCCTGCTGGCTCCTGAAGGCCACTCAGCATGTGCTTAGGACAGTCCCTTTGCTGGGGATGTCACCTGAGCTGGTGGCAGGACCTCTCTGTGCCTCTGTCACCTCCGCTGTAAATGAGGGCCTGATGATGACCCAGGAGATCGCCCTGGCACAGGGCCCAAGGGAGAGGTTGGAAGGAACCAGCCTGGAGACTTAAGGGGCTGGCAAGGAGAAAGAGACTTCGGGGAGGCCTGCCAGCGGGGTAGGCCGTGGCACTCTCTGCACCTCTGTGGTGGGATCCAGAGCCTGTGGCTCAGCCATGTGTGTTGCCTGCCTGGGGGCCTTCCCCTCTCACATAACCAGCAGGGGAGAAGATGTGGATCCCCCAAGCTTAACAGCCACTGGGCATTGCTACAGGGTGGGCAGCGCTCTGGCCGGGCACCGGTGTGCCAGCCAGAGAGCACACCTCTGTCTGCAGGAGCAGAGCTCCTTCTCTGCGGCTTGAGGTGGCATAAGCTCCTACAGGCCTTGCTTTGAGTTTTCCAAGCTTTTGCTCAGCCACTGGGACCACAGCACAGACAGCCCGTGGCCTTAGGTGGTGCCTGAGGCCAGCAGCCCCATGGGAGGCCTTTTGGCTTGACCTTCCAGGGTAGATGCCCAGGGCTGAGGGTGAGCTGAGGCTGCTGGGCAGGTTTGTCCTCCCTGCTGGGCCGAGTGGGCAGTGCTCCTACCTGCTCCTCTCCCTCTCTGGGGCCCTGAGGAGCACACGGGGTGGAAGGAAGGTCATGACAGCCCTTAGTCCTCAGGCTCTCAATGCTGGGCTGCCCTGTTACCCACTGCAGTTCCATGGGTGTCCTGTGCAGCCCATAGGCAGCTGGGAAGGCGCCCCAAGGGTGTGGCTGTGAGTGGGACGGAGGACAGAGATGCGTCTGTGCTGGGTGGGTGGAGGCCCATGGCTGGGGGGCCGGGCTGGTAGGGAAGAAGGTTGGGTTTGAGGAGCAAATGCCCCTCCTCCTTGTACCCTAAAATAGCAGGTGGTCATTACTTCCCATTAAGCACCTACTATGTGCCAGCCTCATGCTGAGGGCCTTGCATGCGTCATCTTAGTGAATTCTTATGGGAACCCCCTCAGATGTCGTTGTTGTCCCCACTTAACTGAGAGGAGAAATGTTTTGCCCCTTGTTACCTGGCTGGTAAGTGACCCAGCCGAAGTGAGAGTCCAGGTCTGTCTGATGCCAAAGCCCAGGATCCCTGGTCATCATTAGGGACCATTTCTGGTTTACAAAGACATAACTATAGTCTTTATATTTTTATGTAAAAATATATAAAAGCAACCCCATGTATCTTGCCCAAGTTGAGAATTTAAAACATGTCACGTGTTTTGGCCATGATGAAGTCGTCGGTACCAGACTTATCTGTCACCACAAACAACTCGAACACGGAACAAAAAATATGAGAAACAGCTGTTTCTAACACTGGACAACAGGTGCAGAGACAGAAATTCTTGGAGGAAGAGGCAAATAAGCCTTTGGCCGAGAGAACCTGGTGGCTTCACTGGGCTGCAGGGGACAGAGTTGGGAAACCAAGGAGGCCAAGGACTATGGACAGAGTGCTGGAGAGAAGGCAGCAGTGCAGGGGAGCACCGAAAGAGTCCTGGAGAGAAGGCAGCAATGCAGTGGAACCCCCAAAATCCCCACAAGGGTCCACTTGAGCCTTTGGCTGAATACTGAACTGTGCATAAGCAGAGTAAGATCCCACGAAGCCAGGGACCAACAGTGACCAGGGAGCTCTGTAAGCAGAATGACACCAGAGTTCACACCAGGCCAGGCGACACTGGAACACCAGCCACCGGGAGCTAGAGTTCACACCAGGCCAGGGGATGCTGGAATGACGACCACCGGGAGCCAGAATTCACACCAGGCAGGGGATGCTGGAACACCGGCCACCAGGAGCAAGAGTTCACACCAGGCAGGGGACGCTGGAACGCTGGCCACAGGGAACCAGAGTTCATACCAGGCAGAGAATGCTGGAACGCCAGCCACTGGGAGTCAGAGTTCACACCAGGCCAGGGAACGCTGGAATGCCGGCCACGGGGAGCCAGAGTTCACACGAGGCAGGGGATGCTGGAACGCTGGCCACCGGGAGCCAGAGTTCACACGAGGCAGGGGATGCTGGAACGCTGGCCACCGGGAGCCAGAGTTTACACGAGGCCAGGGGACGCTGGAACATCAGCCACCAGGAAGGAAGAACCCTCCCTGACTATCCGTCGTCGACCTCAGCTGCTTGGGAGTCTGAGGAGGGAGGATTGCTTGAGCCTGGGGAGGACAAGGCTCCAGTGAGCTATGATCAAGCCACTCTACTCCAGCCTGGGTGACAGACCAAGACTCTGTCTCAAAAAAAGAATGGCTGAAAAATTTCCAAGTGTGATAAAAACCCGTAGATCTGCAGATCCAAGAACCTCAAAGCAATGGAGAGTAAGTACAAAGAAGTCAGAGCAGCATACGTACAAAGCAGACCACGCCACAGTACCTCATAATGAAATGGCTGAAAACCAGGGACAGAGGGAAAAACCCTTGACCACCCAGAATATGCAGTAGATACCAAAGAAGGCCATGTCCTAGGTGAAGGGCTGAGGTAATCCTAGGGTGACAGCTCCTCTAGACATGACCTAATGAAGGTTCAAAACAAGTCCCGAAAGGACCAGGCTGATCCACAAATATGTTAACTGCATCAGCATAACCCTCAACATTTTTTTTTTTTTTTTTGAGACGGAGTCTCGCTCTGTCGCCCAGGCTGGAGTGCAGTGGCCGGATCTCTGCTCACTGCAAGCTCCACCTCCCAGGTTTACGCCATTCTCCTGCCTCAGCCTCCCAAGTAGCTGGGACTACAGGTGACCGCCACCTCGCCCGGCTAGTCTTTTGTATTTTTTTAGTAGAGACGGGGTTTCACCGTGTTCGCCAGGATGGTCTCGATCTCCTGACCTCGTGATCCGCCCGTCTCGGCCTCCCAAAGTGCTGGGATTACAGGCTTGAGCCACCGCGCCCGGCCAACCCTCAACATTCTTGAAAAGAAGGCCAATAAAATCCAGAAACTCGAACACTTTGACATTTACAACCTCCAGCACCCAATGCAAAATTACTAGACATGTGAAGAAGCAGGAACAGGAACCTGTGACAGATAATTGGGAAAAAAAATCAGTCAATAGAAACAGACCCAGAAATGACGTGGATGACAGGATTCACAGAGAAGGCATTTAAAACAACCATCAAAAATACGCCCAAGGATCAGCTGGACACGGTGCTGCATGCCTGTAATCCCAGCACTTTGGAAGGCTGAGATGGTGAGTTGCTTGAGTCCAGGAGTTCAAGACCAGCCTGTGCAACGTGGTGAAACCCCATCTCTACAAAAAATACAAAGAATTAGCCAGGCGAGATACTCGGGAGACTGGGGTGGGAGGATCAATTGAGCCTGGGATTTGGAGGCTGCAGTGAGCTGAACTCGCACCACTGCACTCGAGCCTGGGCAACAGAGCCAGACCCTGTCTCAAAAAAAAAAAAAAAATCTATCTACCTACCTACCTACCTACCTCTTCAAGGATTTATAGGAAACCATGATCATAGTCAAAGGAGAGATGGAAAGTATAATAATGAATCAAATGGAAATTCTAAAGATGAAAATACACAATGTATGAAACAAAAAATCTACTGGATGAGATTAACAGCAGATTAAACTACTCAGTAAACTTGAAGCCAGGATAATACAAGTTACTTGAACTGAAGCATGCAGAGGAAAAACCCGGTGAAAAGGAAGAAACAGAGCCTTGTTGACCTGTGAGACAGCATCAGGCATCAAGCAGTCTAACAATATGTGTAACTGGAGGACCAGAAATGGGGGAGGGGGAAGGGAGAAACTATGTTTAAAGAAATGGCTGGGCTCAGTGGCTCACACCTGTAATCCCAGCACTTTGGGAGACTGAGGTGGATGGATCACTTGAGGCCAGAAGTTCGAGACAAGCCTGGGCAACATGGTGAAACCCTGTCTCTACTAAAAATACAAAAATTAGTTGGGCGTGGTGGTGCATGCCTGTAGTCCCAGCTACTTGGGAGACTGAGGTGGGAGGATTGCTTGAGTCCAGGGAGGTCAAGGCTCCAGTGAGCCGTGGTTGGGCCACTGTACTCCAGCCTGGGTGACAGATCAAAGCTCTGTCTTATTTAAAAAAAAAAAAAAAAAGAATGGCTGAAAATTTTTCATATATAAAAACTCGTAGGTCCACAGATCCAAGGACCTTAGAATGAAATAGAATAAGTACAAAGATGTCAAAGCAGCATACGTACAAAGCAGACCACACCAAGGTATCTCATAATGAAATGGCTGAAAACCAGTGACAGAGGGAAAAATCACAAGGGAATAAAGACAAAAATAACTGCTGGCTTGTCATCGGAAACACTGAAAGCTGAGAGAACTAGAACAACATCTTTAAAGTGCTGAAAGAAAACAAAACTGTCAACCAAGATGTCCATTTCTCGTGAAAATATCCTTCAAAAATGAAAGGAGAATAAAGACATTTTAAGGCAAATGCTGAGAAAATGCATCACCAGTAGACCTACACTATAAGAAATGTCAAAGGAATTTTTTCAGGCTAAAAGCAAATGATATCAGATATAAATTAAAGTCTGCACAAGGCGTAGAAACCCACTGGAAATGGCAAATATGTCGATAAATTTGAGAGGCGTTTTTTCTGTGCTTCAAAACATTCCTTTTTTTTTTCTTTGAGATGGAGTCTCACTCTGTCACGCAGACTAGAATGTAGTGGCATGATCTCAGCTCACTGCAACCTCCACCTCCTGGGTTCAAGTGGTCCTCCTGCCTCAGCCTCCCAAGTAGCTGGGACTACAAGCATGCACCATCATGCCTGGCTAATTTTTGTATATTTTTAGTAGAGATGGGGGTTTCACCGTGTTGGCCAGGCTGGTCTTGAACTCTTGACCTTGTGATCTGCCTGCCTTGGCCTCCTAAAGTGCTGGGATTACAGGTGTGAGCCACCACACCCGGCCCAAAACATTTCTTTAAAAGATCAGAGACTAATGTGAAAATAACGACAGTGTATTATCACATTTATATGTAAAAGTGAAATATATTACAGTAAAAGCACAAAAGGCAGGAGGAGAGAATAGAAATATACCAGAGTAAAGTTTGTATATTTTACAGTGAGTATAATATCACTTAAAGATAGATAATGATAAAGGTAAATACTGAAAACTCTAAATCAGACACTAAAAATTAAGGTGAGGAGCGATAGCTAATAAGCCCAGGGAGAAGAGAGAATTGAATCCTAGAAAATACTCATCCAAAAGAAGGCAGGGGAACAGAAACAAAGACGAAAACCAGATCTGACAAACAGAAAACAAATGGCAAGATGGTAGCCTATATCTAACCATATCAATAATTATATTAAAGGTGAATGGATTAAACACACCAATTAAAAGGTAGAGATTGTCAGACTGGATCAAAAGCAAGACCCAATGACATGATGCTTATTAGATAGGGTGATTCAAATATAAAGATACAGATAGGATGAAAGTAAAAGGAAAGTAAAAGATATGCATGCAAATACTAGTCACAAGAAAGCAGGCATGGCTCTGCTAATAGTAGACAATAGCATATTTCAGAATAAGAATATTACCATGGGGAAATATGTAATAATAAAGGATTCAGTTGGTCAAGAAGATAGTCCTAAGTGCCTATGCACATAATAATAGTTTCAAAATACACACAAGAGCAGATGACCACTGACCAGTCTGAAAGGAAACCAGACCCACAGTTATAGTTGAAGGTTTCAACACTTGCTCTCAACAACTGATAGGACACTAGATAGAAAAATCGCCAAGGGTATAAAACACTTGACCAACCCTATCAACCAACTTGACCTAATTGACATTTATAGAGCACTGTATGGACTATATGAACTCCAGAATTCATATTCTTTTCAAGTACACATGAAATATACACCAAGACAGACCACATATTAGGCCATAAAACATGCCTGCATACATTTAAAATGACTGAAATCCCACAGAGTATGTTTTCTGACAATACAATTAAATTAGAAACCAATCACAAAATGATATCTGAAAAATTCTTAAATATTTGGAAATTAATGCACTTTTAAGAAACCTGAAGGTCAAAGAAGGAATTGCAGAAGAAATTAGAAAATATTTGAACTGAATTATAATGAAAATACATAATATGAAAATGTGTGGACTGCCCTTAACGATGACTTTGAATGCTTATTAGAAAAGAAGACATGTTGAAAATTGATCTAAGCTTCCATCTTTAAGTGAAAAAAAATTAGTGCAAACTAAAGCCAAAGTAAATTAAAAAATAATAAATCAATGGAAATCAGTACCATAGACAATAATAGAGAAAATCAATAAAATAAAAGGCTATCTTTGAAAAGATCAATAAAATTGATAATACTAGATTACAAAAGAAAGAGATAAGGCTCAAATTACCAATATCAGGAGAGAAAGAGGGCCATGCTACTGATCTTGCAGACATTAAAATGATAAGAAAATATTCTGAGTAAGCTTTTGCCAATAGATTCAATCACTTAGATGAAATGGCCATTTTTTTTTTTTTTTGAGACAGAGTCTCGCTCTGTCCCAGGCTGGAGTGCAGTGGCACGATCCTGGCTCACTGCAAGCTCCACCTCCCGGGTTCACGCCATTCTCCTGCCTCAGCCTCCTGAGTAGCTGGGACCACAGGCGCCCACCACCACGCCTAGCTAATTTTTTGTATTTTTAGTAGAGACGGGATTTCACCATGTTAGCCAGGATGGTTTCCATCTCCTGACCTCATGATCCACCCACCTCGGCCTCCCAAAGTGCTGGGACCACAGGCATGAGGCCATGTTCTTTAAAAGACACAAATCATCAAAACTGGCATAAGAACAAATAGAAAATCAAAATAGCACTGTGTCTATTGAAAACATGCAATTTTATATTTTGTTTATTATTACCATTATTATTTTTTGAGACAGGGTCTCACTGTGTCACCCAGGCCAGAGTGCAGTGGTGCAATCATGGCTCAGTGCAGCCTCGACCTCCCAGACTCAAGCAGTCCTCCTACCTCAGCCTCCTGAATAGCTGGGACCACAGGCATGCACCAGACCCAGCTGATTTTTAAATTTGTTGTAGAGATGGGGTTTTGCCTTATTGCCCAGGCTGATCTCTTGAGCTCAAGTGATCTGCCAGCCTCAGCCTCCCACAGTGCTGGGATTACAGACGAGAGCCACTGCACAGGGCCTGTTTTTTATTTTTTTATCCCTAAACTTATGGTAAGAATCCTTAATTAAAAAACAAACAAAAAACCAAAAAAACCTTTACACAAAGAATACTCCAGGCCCTAATGACAACACTGGTGAGTTCAGTTAAACATTCAGTGAAAAGGAAGAAATAATACCAATCTCACATAACCTCTTTCAGAAACATGAGGAAGAAAAAAACATTTCTCAACTCATTTCATGAGGCCAGTATTGTCCTGACACTGATACTAAAAAGTCACAAGAAAATAAAAGTATAGACTAATATTCCTCATGGATATAGGTATGGAATTATTTTATAAAATATTAAATCCAGCTATTATCTAATCAGTAACATCTCATGATCGAGTGAGGCTTATCTTAGGAATGCAAGGTTGGCTTAATATTTGAAAATCAGTCAGTGGCCAGCACTTTGGGAGGCCGAGGTGGGTGGATCACCTAAGGTCAGGGGTTCAAGACCAGCCTACCCAACATGATGAAAACCCATTTCTACTAAAAATACAAAAAATGAGCCAGGCATGGTGGTGGGCACCTGTAATCCCAGCTGCTCAGGAGGCTGAGGCAGGAAAATTACTGGAACCTGGGAGGTGGAGGTTGCAGTGAACCAAGATCGCATCACTGCGCTCCAGCCTGGGTGATAAAAACTCCATCTCAAAAAAAAAAAAAAAAAAAAAAAAAAAGAAATTCAGTCAGTGTAATTTGCCACATTAACAGACTGAAGGAGAAAAATCATATAACTTTTCAATAGGTCAAGAGAAAGAATTTGACTCAACCAAATGCTTATTAAAAAAAAATCTAGGCCGGGTGTAGTGGCTCACACCTGTAATCCTAGCACTTTAGGAGGCTGAGGTGGGTGGATCACAAAGTCAGGAGATTGAGACCATCCTGGCTAACACGGTGAAACCCCATCTCTATTAAAAATACAAAAAATAAATTAGCTGGGTGTGGTGGCCGGCACCTGTAGCCCCAGCTACTCGGGAGGCTGAGGCAGGAGAATGGTGTGAACCCAGGAGGCGGAGCTTGCAGTGAGCCGAGATCGCACCACTGTACTCCAGCCTGGGTGACAGAGTGAGACTGTCTCAAATAAATAAATAAAATAAATAAAATAAAAATCTCAGTGATGTAGAAACGGAAGGTCACTTGCTCAGTGTCATAAAGGGTACCTGATAGCTCACAGCAGACCTGATGCTGGAGAATGGATGACTTTCTCTTTGGGATCTTGAGCCTGGCAAGGAAGTCCACTCAGCACTGCCACTCAACACTGGCCTGGCTTGTGCAGTGAGGCAACAAAACGTAAAACAGGATGTAACAGTAACTGTCTTGTTCTCTCTCTCCTCTCTCTGTCTCTGTCACTCTGCAGGTGACCTGAATGGGATTTAGAGAACCCTGAAGTGTCTACAACTGCACATAAAATTGAAGCCCACCCTCCAAGCCTGTTCACTCCCCCGGCCCCCAGCCCACCACCTCCCTTTCTTTCTAGAAGAAACCACAACTCGGAATTTGGTATTTATCCATCTCATACCACATTTTTGTTCCCTTGCTATGGGCATATGTAACCATCAAAGCCTACAGCGCTGCTCTGTGTGTTTTTAAACTCTTTGAATGATATCAAGCAGAAAATCTGTTCAGAAGCTCTGTGCTGGCTCGGAGGGGCTGGAAGTAGCCATACCCCAAAGGCCTGGGGCCAGGCAAGGCTGGGAGCCCACAGCACTGGCCCTCAGCAAAGCCAAGACCCTTTCTGCTCCTTGCCACCCACCCTTCCACCCCGCCCCACGCCCCCAGTCTCGAGGACCCCCTGGGCTTGCTGCTGGTCAGCTTGTGCTTTAGTGGGGGAAGAGCCTCTCCAAGGGTAGGATGACTGGCTGGCCTAGGAGTGTAGGTCTCAGGGTAGGGGAAGCCTGGGTGAGCCTAGGAGTGTAGGCCTGGGGGAGTGGGGAGCCTGGGTGAGAAGTGCTGCTTTAAGCTGCACCAGGGCCTCCAGGAATGGCAGCTCCATGATAGACCCCAGCCTTAAAGTGGGGATGGGCAGGACATACAGTTTTTGACAAATGATGTTAATCGAGGCACAATTTACGTGCAGTAAAATCACCCTTTTAAAATGTACAGTGAGATGAGTTTTAATGAATGTATACCTGTGTAACCACCGTCATGATATAGGATGTGTCCGTCGCTCTAGAAGTCTTGCTGTGCCCATCGCAGTAAGTCCCCTGGCCCTGCGCCCCCGGCGTGGATCTGTGCCCCATCCCGTAGCTTTGCCTTTTCCAGACATCGGTTGCACAGAACTCTCCAGCCCATGGCTCCCTTCACTGGCACACTGGCTTAGAGATTCAGCCGTGTGGCTTTGAGGCCCGCACCAGCGGCTGTCCCATCATTGCCGAGCAGTCTTCCTTCCAATGGAGGCATCACTGTTTTCAGAGGCGAAGTGGACCAAAGGCCAGACCATGTGCAGGACTAGAGCACACTCAGCAATAAGAAAGTGCCCACCTGAACAGACCCCTCACAGAGAAGATCTGCAGAAGATCTGAAGCAGTGGGAGACACTCCACATGGCATCGTTAGGCGGCTGCAAATTGAAGCCCCAGTGCGTTGCTGGTACACGCCTGTTAGAACAGCCCGAATCCAGAACACAGGGGATGCCACGTGCTGGTGAGGATGTGGAGCAACAGGAGCCCTCCTTCGTGACTGATGGGAATGCAAAACGGTACAGCCATTCTGGAAGACTTTGGTGTTTTCTTACAAATGTAAACACACTTTCATCGTAGGACACAGAAACCATAGTCCTTTTCACCCAAAGGGGTTGGAAACGTATCCAAACAAAAACCTTTATAGTGGCTTCCGAAACTTGGAAGCTGGCACCATGTCCTTCAGTAGGTGAGTGGTTAAATAAACTGTGGTCCATCCAGACAGTGCAGTATCATTCAGCGCTAAAAGACATGAGTGATCAACCCATGAAAAGACATGAAGGAGGCCGGGTGCAGTGGCTCACACCTGTAATCCCAGCACTTTGGGAGGCCGAGGTGGGAGGATCACCTGAGGTCGGGAGTTCGAGACCAGCCTGATCAACATGGTGAAACCCCATCTCTACTAAAAATACAAAAATTAGCCAGGCGGGGTGGAGCGTGCCTGTAATCCCAGCTACCCAGGAGGCTGAGGCAGGAGAATTACTGGAACCCGGGAAGCAGAGGCTGCAGTGAGCCGAGATTACGCCACTGCACTCCAGCCTGGGCCACAGAGAGAGACTCTGTCTCAGAAAAAGAAAAGGAAAAGAAAATACCTGAAAACATCTTAAATGGATATTTCTACGTGAAAGAGGCCAGTCTGAAAAGGCTGCATACACACTGTGTGATTCCAACGACATGACATTCTGGCCAGGGCAACGCTGTGGAGAATAAAAAGGTCGGGTTGCCTGGGTTGCAGGGAGGGAGGGATGAAGAGGCAGAGCCCAGAGGATTTTTGGGGCGGTGAAACCCAGCTGTATGACACTGATGTGGGGAATCCGCGCCAGTCCACGTTGGTCAAAACCCATAGAATGTACTCCAAGAATGAACCCTGACGGGGACTGTGGGTGAGGACGTGTGGATGCAGGCTCATGTGCTGAGATGGGGGACGGTGATAATGGGGGAGGCTGTGTATGTGTGGGGGCTGGGAGCACATGGCCATCTCTGCACCTTCTGATTGGTTTTATTGTGAACTAAAACTGCTTTAATAATGAAATTTTATTTAAAAAAACAGCACTCACAGGCTGCAGCAATGAAAAGCACTAACGTCTGCCACAGCTGGCCCCCAAATGGCCAACACTTGATTGGCAACTGACGGCCTCCCTAAGTTTTGTCCCCACTTCAGTTCATATTCCAACTCTTCACAGGCCCCCTCCCTAATCCCGAAGGACACCTGCTTCTGGTCAGCCGCCTCCAGCTCCCCAGGCCAACAGCCTCCATCGGGGCTCACCTGGAGCCTTCCCATCTCCACTCTGAAGCTTCCCAGCCCCTTGCCTGCCTTGGAGGCTCTGCCAGGCAGGCCATGGCGGCCGGCTCTCTTGCTACAGCAAGCTCTGAGTAAGTGGCCTCTGCCTGTTCTCATTTGGGAGGTCTTTGTTCCTTTGCATAGTCCCTGCAGGCACCAGTGGGTGGACGTTTGGGTCCTTTCCGGGTTGGAGCTGTGATGACAAGGCTGCTGTGGGCGCTGGTGCACAGATCTTACATGGATGAGTGCCTGCTATTCACTGCGTCTTAAAGCTGGACCCTGCTCTGTCCTTGCCTCTCTGGCTTCCTGGAGCCTCCGGGTAGCCTGATGGGCTCAGGAATCCAGGACCACATACCCCAACGCGGGACAGAGGAAGAGCCAGCTCCCTCCCTCGGGCTCTTGGGTGGGCCTCAGCGCCTCTTTGGGGTTCGGGTCATGCCTGGGCTCTGCTTGTCATCTCAGAATTTCTTTCTCTTATTCCCTGGAACTGGGGGCGTGAATTCCATCCGGTTTCCCTGTCCTGAATGAGGACCAAGGCTTGTGGGAGACATTGTCCCGCCGTGGAGAGCCCGGACCCCTTCCACCAGCAGGGGTGGCAGCCAGGCTCAGGGCTGGTGGCTGCCTCTATCCCAGAGTCCCCCTTGAGCAACTTATGCTGCGGGACACCTTTCTCTGGGCACCTCTGTCTGTACAAAAGCCACCCTCGTTCTGGCCATTTTACCCTGAATGAGGACACATTTTGATTTTTGGGAGGCTTTTGCTGCCATGAGAATTAAGGTTAATGCTTCTCAAAATAGCTTCTCTGCAAATAACTGACAAGCTCACTTGGCCCAAAATGAATCTGAAGGGGAATTAAAAAGCATCTCTTTTCCCAGAAAACAGATTCCTCATTGACACATTTTTTTTTCTCCTGTTGATTTTTCCCTGTTTCCAAAATGGAGCCTTTTTCCTCCGTCTTTTATGCGAGGAACCGGCCGCAGGAAGACAAAGTCCACTTGTCAGCAATATTCTGTGAGTCTCTGTTCTCTCTCCCTCTGGGGTCGCCCTGACAATAGGGCCATTATCAGATAGCTCCCTTATTCCATAGATTTTTCCTCTCCCCTCCAGGGCTAATGAGGAGAAAGTTTGCCAGGCTGAACAAAGATGGGAAGGGTTTTCACTCGTGGAGGCCCAGCGTGGCCAGCTCCAGGGAAGGGCCATTATGCGGAGGTTGTGTACTGTCATTCGATTGCTGTGAGTGACTTTTGGGATCAGGGCCATCCATCAGTTCTGTGATTCACATAATTTGTCCTCTGAGAGCGGAAACGTGTTTCCCAGAGAGAAGCCTTCCAGGCTGTCTCTGGGCCTCAGGCTCCCAGGGCCAAGCCCACATCTGACTGAGGGGGCTTAAGATCTCACCGCCGCTTCGTGAATCACATCGGGAAGGGAAGGAACCTTGAAATATTGAAAGGCATTGCCCCAGCTAGTCCAGCACTGTGTAAACACTTCACGTGGTGTTGTTAAGAACATAAAAATGCTCAACACCCCAGACTCGGGTCTGGGATCTTGTTCTGAGATCAGCCTCTGCGTGTGCCCGTTTGGCTGCCACCAGCAGCTGCCGTTGAGGACCCCGGCCCGCCCCCCACCCCGCTTCCCTTTACCTACATTAGAGCCTTCTCTGGCCGCTCGGTGGACTTGGGAGGCCCTGGTGATCCCAGAATCCGTGCTGAGTAATGGCCCTCACAGCAAGCCACTGATTCACTCATCCCGTCATTCATTCAAGCAAGCAGCCTTCTCCCAGGCATGGGCCCCAAGCCAGGCTTTGGGGGCCGAGAGATGAATCAGGGAGCCCCCAGGAGTCCTCACAGCCCCAAATCCAGTGCATGTGGTATTTTTGGACTCAGTGGACAGAGGCTAAGGGGTGCCCTGCATGACCTGGGGTCTCAAGGTGCCAGTCTACGGGGAGGCTTAGAATCCCTGAGCACTTCAGCTGTGCTGGAGGAAGCTGAGCTAGTTCCCTGCCTACAGCTGCCTCTCCTTCCACAAATGCGAAGGGATAGATACGGGGGTGTCAGACGGGCAGCCCAGGGCTCTTGGCGTGTGGAAGAGGCGCTGCCGAGCCCCCTCCCGTGTGGTCTGGCGGGTGGGGAGGATCTCTTGCTGGTGGTATTATGGGTCCTGGGAGTTCGGGGCTGCTCCCTGGGGACTGGAGTGGCTGAGGAGGGTGGCATGGAGGGGTGGGGGTAGGGAGCTTCAGGGAGTGGGGAGGGGAGGCTGTAGGCAGGAGGGTCTGTGAGGTCTCAGGCAGGTGAGAGGTTCCCATAGGCACGGCCAAGGCGGTAGCTGTGGTGGTGGCTGATGTGAGCAGGTGTCTGGCATCATAAATGTCAGTTTTATAATCAGCCTGGGCCACTCTCAAACAGGGGCCCTTGGAAGAAGATGCTGCTGGGAGATGGTCGAAGGCCCGCGGTGTTGACTCCGAAGCAAGGCTGTTGACCGCGTGTGGGTAATGACTGCCCACCTTCCCGGAACCCCAGCCAGGCCTGTGTTCCAGACACTCGGGGGTGAGGGAGGGGAGAGGTGTAGGGCACAGCTCCAGAGCCTGGCAGAACGGAGCCCAGGAGGCATTCAGAGGCCCTGGGTGGGAAGCCAGGTTGCCTGGGGCACATCAGTTCACCTCTGTGTCTGCAGGGAGCCAGTGGGGACCTATGTGGGTGAGACTGTTTGGGGCAATCCTGGCTGGGGAGGCTGGACTGGGCCTGGCTGGACATTCCCCTTTGAGGTTTACCCACCCTAGGCTTCTGGGTCGGGGTCAGAGCAGAATCGGGGTGGGGGATGGAGCCTCTCCCGGAGGCAGGAGGGCCCCAGGAAGGAATGCCAGAGAAGCCCCTGAGGAAACTGGGTCTTCTCCAGCCCCAGGGCCTCTGCTTCCCACCCCCCACCCCATGTGGCTGTCCCTTGTCAGGACAGTGTCAGGCTGTGTGAGGTGCTGGTGGACACAGCTTTCAGGGAGGGCTGACATGGGGAGGGCCACCCTTAGGAAGGGGTGGGTTGAGGACCGGCCTAGAACAGAGGTCCCCAGACCCCAGGCCATGGGCCAGGACCAGTTCTTGGCCTGTTAGGACCCGGGCCGCACAGCATGGGGGGAGAAGTGGTTGAGCGAACCCAGCTTCCTCTGTGTTTACAGCCGCTCCCCATCGTCTGCATCATCGTCTGCGCTCCACATCCTGTCAGATCAGCGGCAGCGTGAGATTCTCATGGGAGCGTGAGCCCTATTGTGAACTGTGCGTGAGGGATCTAGGCTGCTCGCTCCTCATGAGAATCTAATGCCTGATGATCGGTCACTGTCTCCCATCACCCTTAGATAGGACCATCTAGCTGCAGGAAAACAAGCTCAGGACTCCCACGGATTCTACACTATGGTGAGTTGTAGAATTATTTCATTATATACTCTAATGTAATAATAATGGGAATACAGTGGACGATATATGTAATGCACTTGAATCAGCCCCAAGCCATCCATCCCCTGGTCTGTGGAAAACCTGTCTGCCATGAAATCAGGTGCTAAAAAGCCTGGGGAATGTTGCCGTGGAAGATCGGTTCCCCCAGCACCTCCAGCAAGGAATGCTGCGTCCCCCGGAGGCCTCGGGGCAAGGCCTGTGGGGTAGGCCCTGGGTCCTGTGCACCTGGAGGCAGGCACAGCTGGGGGACATGCCTGGAGGCTGCTGCATCTATAGGCCATCATGCTTGGCGGAGGGACACACCTGGAGGTCACCGTGCTCACTGCAGGGCTGTCCAGGGAGTTGATGCCTTCCTGAGCTTATTCTTTTCTGGAAAATGGGAATAGCCAGGAGTCTGCCCTGGAAGATGGAGGGAACAACGCTCCAAGGGCATCAAGGCCTGGCCCCGGGACTCCTCAGTCAAGGCCAGGGAGCCTGGACCTCGGCCAAGTCCTGGCTTGCGCCTCCTCTCCCTTCCACAAGCCTGGGGCCTCTCCCTCAATGAAGCTCGCAGGCACCGAGGCTTAGAAAAGCACACAGATTTATTGCATATCAATCTCATGTATAAATTCATTGGAGCATTGGAAAGATTACATTTGGTATACAGTCCTATTCTACAGCATTAACCTCAAAATCAGCTTCTCCTAGGCCTTCTCTTAAGGAAATGTCTCTACACAAGTACATTTGTCTTTATCACAAGCATCAGAATGAAATTTGCAAAGTTGTTCTTTTCATGATTTCCTACACTTCATGTCTCATTTCATTCTTCTCCCACAGCGATTTCCGTATTAATTGGGAACTGTGCCTCTTTTGCGTCGGCAGTTCAGGACTCCTAGTCTCGGACGTAGATCCTAATCACATATTCAATAAGTGCATCTACAGAATTTTCCTTTTAATAAAAATTTCACCAACAGACACGATAATGACCGCTACGCAGGAGTCATGCACAGTTTACTTATAAACAGAAGCAATTTACAATCAAGGGGGACGTGGGGCGAGCGCCAGCCTCCTCCTCAATGGTCTTTTTAAACATTATATGAAAACCGGACATTTACATTTGATTTCTTTTTCAACACTGTACAGTTCTAAAAGAAAAAACAAAACAAAATAAAACGAAACCAAATCTATCATGTAACAATGGCAAAAGGTGGCGGGCGGCACAGGTCTGTGATTCTGCGAGGATTCTTTATATAGACCTTAAGGGACAAAGTCCGTATACACACACGCTTTAAATTACGATTCTGACACCAGGGCTCAGCATCCCTTGTGCTGAAAGAGAAGTGGCAATGCACGTGACGCCAAAGGCAATTGTTAGAATGACTTTTGTTCACGAGTGAATCGCACGTTTGGAAACTCAAGCTGCCTTTTATTTATTTATGTAGTTTTTTCCAAAAGTGGTGATACGAACCAGTGACAGAGAAGAACAAAACAAACACAAGTATGGAATGGAAGGAGCTGAGGAGCTCTTCTCAGAAGAACGCAAGAATGTTTTCGTCACAGTATCACTCATTGCTACAGAGACACAGTTTCATGGCTTTTGATACCCGGCTGACCTCCACTGACCAGGAGCAGCTACGTCCTGGCATCCCTGGCTGGGAGGGGAGCCTTGCCCTCCCCCCCAAGGCTGCAGTGCAGGGGCGAGCTCTCCTCTCCCTCCCCTAGGACAGCACAGTGAATATAGCTCAGTAGGTTTCAGTCACTTGGGCAGGGGGACGGGACAGAGGAGCAGGGGACCACAATCCAGTGCTTCGAGGCTTCGAGTCTAAAATACGTGATATGTATTCAGGCAAGTGCTTTGCAGATGCTCACGGGGAAGCGGGGAAGGCAGAGGACACCAGGGCCCTTGGAATTTCCAGGGCTGGACTCTGGGGATGTGGAGGTCTTGGCCAGTCGGGGTCTGGATGGGACAGCTGCAAGCATGGCCTTGTAAAGGAAGGCCTCTCCAGCTGGGTAGTCTCTCAGGCCACGCCATGCCCATCCCAGCCACTGCTCCACATCCCAGGGCCCCATGCAGGGTGCAGGGGCTCGCTCCTCTGGGTTGGAGTCAGTGACATCTTGGGTCCCCCTCATGAAGGGTCTGCCGGGCCCACAGAGGAGCAACCCCATGGGCCCAACCTGGGGATGAGAGCAGGAACTGGTGGGGACGTCGGCTCGCTGGGGGTTGGGTTCTGAGGAGCAGCAGAGGGCAGGTGCGAGGAGGCCTCCTTCGGAATTTCCGTTTGGGGGATGGGGGTTGACAATCCAAGGAGTTAGCATTGGGGCAGCATTTAGGCTGAACGGAGGGGCCCTGGACCCCTGGCTTGCAGCCCTGACCCTGGCCACCTGGCCACAGACACAGCCAGTTGCCTTGTCGCGTCCCTGTCCATGCCACACAGCGACATGGGCCCCTTATAGTGTGGTGACAGTTGAAGGCCAGAATCTCTGAATTCTCACACCTGGGCCGGGCTCCCTGGCCCATGTCATCTCTGGGCACCAACACTGCTGGGTGGAGCAAAGCTGGGAGGGCAAGGCTCGCTGGGGCCTGGGGCCACGCTAAGTGTCGGCGCCATGTTTTGGGGTGCACCAGCCCAGGAAATAAGTGCTGTCTTTGTCAGGGGCAGTAAGAACAGGGCCTCCTGAAAATGCCAAGTGCTGGGACCTGGGGGCTGGATGCTCAGGAGAAACTGGGCTTGCTATCATTTTCAGGGGGACAAAAATATGTGACTTAAAACGTGCAACCAGGACTCTTGGGAAGGGTGGAAGGAAAGAGCGCCGAGAGAAGACAGGATGCTTGGGAAGACAGCTGAAAACGGCGGGATGGGACAGGGAGATCCGGAGAGCAACGGTAAGGGTGGCCCTCATTGGTTCTGCTTCTGCCGAAAAGATGCGCTGAGGGCTCCATCCGTCCGAACGTCCCACTTCAGAGAGATGGGGCCGTATTGCAAAAAAAAAAAAAAAAAAAAAAAAAAAAAAAAAAAAAAGCACACACCTTACTCTTTCACAGAAGAAATCATATAATTTGGGTTTACAGAAATGGGGTGTTTATGTCCGAGGTTGAATTTTTACAAGAATCCCCTCTAGATCAAGGAAAACTGGAAATTCCTATGCGGTACCTGGTGGGTCTGACCCAGGGGATGTTGTGGAAACGCATAAGGAGGCCTGAACGGTTGTGTTTGCAGATCCTGAATCCTTCCCGACACACCAGCTGGCTCTTCTGCAGGCAGCTCCCCCGCTGCCCCGGGGGGCCACCCAGGCCGCACGTGGCCCCAGCGCACGCACAGGTGGGTCTCGTCTTGTCACGCCGTGCAGATCTGGCATGGGAGGGGTCCCTTTCACTGTGATACATCAGGTGGAGCCTCCTGCAGGAACCTCCCCATGGCAAGTCTTCAGTGCAAGCCTGGACCGCCTGGCACCCACAGAGACGATTGTCTTTTGGCCTGGAGCAGCCAGGACATCTCCTGTCACCGCTGGGGACAGCTTGAGATGTCCACGCGTGACACAAACCCACACCAAGGTGGCTTGCACCACTCCTGTTTGTATTTACGCTCTTTTTTTTTTTTAAGGGCAACGTGGGCGGTTTTTTTCTCTTCTTGTTGGGACACTATCATGATTTTTTCTTCCAAACAATACAAGAAATAAATAGAACACTTGTCTTAAATGCAAATGCAACTGAAATGCAAATTTAACAAAAACATATGATTGTCTGGTAAACGGCAGCAGGGACAGCAGGATTCATGGGGGGGACGGGGGTATTTGGCACATAAAAAATCGCCCCACTCCCACACGACACACAACCTTATTACACGGTTTTGGTCCTTCACCAGATACTTATATTAACATTATTTCTTCACAATAAGAATGTCTAATGCCAAAAATACTGTTAAGGAGGAAATAAAATAAGAAAAGAAATGAATTAGAAAAAATTACAAGTTATATACAGATTAAGGTAAATTCCATCAGGGAAAAAATTATTATTTGAAATTGGCCCCTATGGGAATAATTTAAAGCCCATCCGAGTGGGGAAGAAGTTGCATCCCAAGAGAGGGAGGCGGCCGGGCCCCGGGGGTTGTGCTGTCTCTGCTGCTTGCGGCAGGTTCCCCCGACGCCCTTCTGTTCTCAAGCTGTGTCTCACCAAGAGCGCACAGGAAGAGCGACGTGGTGACTGTGTCGTCCATCCGGAGTCTCAGGCACAGGTACGGCTTGGTGGCCCGGAGCCATCCGCTGGGATCGCTCCCCAGGGCAGCCACGTGGAGGACACCGGAGAGGCTGGGGTCAGGTGGGAGTTGGGAGACCCAGGACATGGCCAAGGCCCTGCCTTCAGAAGACGGCGGTGGGTTCCGGCGTGGGGTGGCCAAGGCAGGGACAGAGGAGGGAAGGAAGGTGGGTGCCCGGCCACATCTCTGCATGGTGGACTCAAGCCATGGGCCCTCGACTTCCCCGTACAATTGAGGGGTCTTAGGTGGGGGCCTATGGATTCCTCTGAAGGCCACGTGGCGGCCCTGGCACCAATTCCATGTCACATGATGGCAGGCATGCTCCCCATCCCAGCCTCGGGCAGGCTTGCAGCCCAGGGCACCCTGTCTAAGACTTCCTCAGCAGTCTGCACGGCTCGCGGGTGTGGTCCCATGCCTCTTGTTCTGCCTCGGGGCACCCAGCGTCACCTTGGTGTATACAAATAGGGACAGAGATAGAAAATTTCTCCATTATCTACAGTATAAAGAACACGCCCAGGCACAGTGCGGGTTCCCAGGCAGACTCGGGTTTGCAAACGAGCTCAAATTTCAAAGCAATGCAAAATTACTTTTAAAAAACAATTTGCAAGTCATTTTTTGATTTTTAAAAAATACTGTCTATTTTTAAAACCACATGCTTAAATAGACTCTGTAGTCAATACGATTACCAAAAGGGTTATTCTTGTCATTTCATTATAAAAATCATTTGACTGATCTCTCTCTTTTGAGCACACCCGTCTATCCACTCCCTTCTGCGACCCCATGCAGGCACCCAGCAGTGGCCACCAGCTTCTGTCTCAGCGGAGCGTCCACCTGTCCACAGGTGGATTCTGTGTCTCAGCGGAGCGTCCACCTGTCCACGGTGTCCACGGGTTGATTCTGTGTCTCAGCGGAGCGTCCACCTGCCCACTGGCTGATTCTGCGAGGCAGCTCCGTTGGCTGTCTCTGGACGGCCGCCTGCAGGACCATCACTGAACAGTGTTCTCAAGACCAATCGTTGGAGATTGTGAGATTCTACGGCTGCTTTAGGGACTTTCGGGGTCTGAGTTTCCACTGGAAAAGTCGGAATGAAACATGGTGGGTGGGGAGGATGCTGAGGAGTGGCCACACGCAGGGACGGGGTCCTCCGCGGCCCCGTCAGCCTCTGTCCTCCGCGGCTGGTGCCCTCACTCTGGCCGCCGGCCCCCGGCCGCCCAGCCCGTCAGAGGTGGTTGATGGGGTGAAATGCTCCAGACTCCGACGTGGCTCCAGTGATGTTCAACCAAGCGTCCAAAGAGCCCTGGGAGGGGGTGTGGAGAGGAGTGTCTTCGGAAAGGGACAGCATCATTGCATATGCCTGGCGGGGAGGGGATGACACACACACAGGACAGGCAGGTGAGCATGTGGGCAGGGCGGGCCATCCCCGACAGGCAGGTGAGCGCGTGCGCAGGGCGGGCCATCCCAGACAGGCAGCGCATGGGCAGGGCGGGCTGTTTCACACAGGCAGGTGAGCGTGCGGGCAGGACAGACCGTCCCGGGACGGCAGGGCCAAGCCTCGTCTGTTCCCAGCCTCCCGCAGCCCTGGCCTGGCTCAACCTCGCCCTGGTCCACAGTGGGAAGAGGGAGCAAAAAGGACTAAGAGACCCAGATTCTCTCCGCAGCCTGGAAGAGGAAGACATGAGCAGCCGTGACAGTGGGAGGGAGGAAGGCCACCCGCTGCTCAGAGTGATGCCAGGACACTGGGGTGCCAGTGCGGGGCCTCCTGTGCACACCAGTTCCCTTGGCTGCTTTGGGGTCCTCCCCCTCAAAGCCTCCTCTCCTTCCCACCCCTTCCCCCCAAGTTTTCTCCACTTGGTGATCAGCAGAAACTACAGACACGTGTCTGGTCTAGGAGGGCCCTGGGGGTCAACAAGAGCCACCCCTGCCAGGGGATGCCTGTTTTGGTGACCATGGGGACACTAAAGAGCTGCCTCTGGGACAGGGACGTGCAGCATTTCTGGGCCGATGGGATTCTTAGGAAGTGCAGGTATGTTTCCAGGCATTAGCTCATGGGACATCCTTCTGCCCCCAGCACAGGGCAGGTGGGGATGGGACTCGGGGAGCGTCGTGTGCGGGTTAAGGGCAAGGGAGGTGGGGAAGCCCAACGCTGTCCCACCCGAGTTAACACTCCAGACAGAATTAGTAAAAAGACAAAGACAGACACGCAGACGGCTTTTGCTGAGACCGGGGGCGGACCTGTTTCCTCTGGGAGGGCTGTAGAGAGCTGAATGAGACCCCCAGTCCCTATAGACTGCAGAGATACGTGGGCAGGGCCCTGGGGCCACCTGCCCTAAGGAGAGAAGCTGAGAAGCACCTGGGGCCAACCCTGGTGCCCTTGCTGACCTCATAGCTCCAGCCGGGAAGCAGCGACCGCCCGGCTGGACAGCTCTTCCCGTGGGAAAAATCCGGACTGCAGGCCACTGGGGCCCAGCTCAGAGAGGGAGTGAGACGAAGGCGGCTGGGCGGGCCAGAAACCTGCTCACAGACCTTTCCCACTGAGGACCACAGGAAGGTGAGCTGCCCGTGTCCACGAGTGAGCTCCCTCGTGAGGGTCCCGCCAGGGTCATCGGCTCTCAGCCCCTCCCTGCTGCACCCCAGCTTGCGGGAGGGCGGTGGTCACTGGGGCCTATCTGGAGGATGCAGCACGGGGGCGTTAGTAGTGATCAGAGCTTCCCCAGGCCTGGGAGGGCCACGGCGGGAGGTGAGTGCTGGCTGTCCCCTGGCTGAGGAGGCCAGGTGGGGTGGGGGCGGGGCTCTGGTGGGTACCTACCTGGTTCTTAGCCTGCCTGCACAGTGTATGTTTTAAAGCCTCAGAATCTAAGGTGGAATTAAGCACATCTTTAACTTCAAATGCTTCCTCAGCTGCTCTGCGGAGGTCCAGCCCCTTCCCAAAAGTCGGCATCGGCTCCAAAGCTAACAGACCGCCTTCATGGTCCTCAGCACACCTGCACCAATGACCGGGGAGAGGGAGGGCCTGCTGTTAGCAGCCTGGCCTTGGCCGCCTCTCTGATGCCGCAAGGCCTGCTCCGGGCCTGCATGCACGCCACTGCATCTCTGCCAGCCACATGCACAGGGAGACAGACACACGGACACACAGACGCCTGGACGGGAAGCCACACGGATGCAGGAGAGTGACGGACAGAGGTCAGGGCGGGGGTGAGTGCGTGCACACACATCAGGCAGCAGGCAGGGGGCTCAGATCTTTCGAGTGGAGGGTGGAGAAGGAGGCTTCAATGCTCTAAGACCCCAGGCAGCTCCGAGAGGCCCGGGGCTCCCTCTCCCGGGACTCAGGGGCAGCATCCAGGCTGGGGAGGAAGCACCGCCTCCGAAGGGCCTCCTGGGGGATCTGGGAATGCTGGCAGTGTCGCCCAAGCCTGATACTGGCGGCGAACACTGAGGACATGGGGAAGTGGCTCCGGCTGGCACAGAATAGTGGGTGCTTGGCCCCTGTGCCCACGGCCCTCTAGGGGCTGCACACGCTGTCCCAGGCTGACGGGCAGCTCTGCTGCAGGGCTGGGGGCCTCCATGTCTGCTCAGTGCAGGGAAATGCCTTCCCCTCCACACTCTGCTTCCAGCCTCCAGGGCCCCTGGGGGTGGGTGGGGGGCTGAGAGCCCCTGACCCTGTTGCCCGTGGCTCAGCCTTGCCCTGGCCTGTGTGTAGGAGCCCCGAGGTGGCTGTGCTGGAGTAGGGGCTGAGCCTGGGATAGGCTCACAAGTGGTTGAAGAGGGAGGTCCCCCTCCCGATGGACGCCCACGTTCCCCCCTTGCCCCGTCCAGGAGCACACGGCTGCCCCCACCTTCGGGTGTGGTCGAAGCCCACGGCCAGGGAGGTGGGTGCTTCCTCGTCCTCCTCGTCCTCATAGGTGGCCTGGGGTTCGGGTGCGGGGGACACCGTGTCGTCCTGCGACTTCCCGGCCAGGCTGTCCTCATCGTCCTCCTCCAGGTCATCGTCATCCTCCTCCTCCACGTCCTCCTGCTTCTCGCTGGCTAGGCCTGGACACTGGGAGCTGCCGTCCACGTCCTGCATCTCCGGCCTGAAATGACACAGGAGGAGATTGGCCAAGTTCAGGCGTCTCTCTCCTTGCCATGGACCCCCAAAGGCTGGTGACTCGGCTCTGCCCCCACTGCCTCCCCCAACGACCCTCAGCCCCCTTCCTGAGGGAGCTCCCACCGGTCCCCGGGCCCAGCCACTGAGTCTGCAGAGTGAGAGGCACGGAGGCCTTGGGGCGGTCCCAGGAGAGGAGGACGAGTGCTCAGGGTGGTGGGGGCGGGGCAAGGCCCAGCGGCAGGCGGCTGTTGTGGCCGTGAGGGCACCAGGGCCAGGCGGTGTTGGGGAGGAAGAGGTGGGCAGTCCTGTGGGGAAGCTGGTCCTGCACTGGTGCGGGGACTGCGCACTGCACGAGAGGCACCCTCAGGGCAGACTTCGGGGGGAAGGATTTCAGGCTGACAACTTGAGGACGTGAGCACTGGCCCGAGAGCCGGGAGCCCCGGAGGGCTCTCTGGGATCTGGAGAGTGAGGGCCCAAAGCCTGTTGTCAGCAGTCTGACAGCACCAGGACAAGCTTGCTTCAGAGCCTGAGGGGACTCTCCTGCAGCCCAGGGCTCTCCTGACTTCCCCCAGGGTCACTGCAGCCTGGCAGGACCCCTCCACTCTGGTTCCTCAGTATTAAAAAAAGAACAAAGTGTGCATGGGCGTGGCTGAGCGTTCTCATTTCTTTCAGGAAGAGCCACTAGAGTTTGGCTCGTCTTCATGTTCATGGCCAAGAGCTGTGTCTTGGGTGGGCTGGGCCCCAGGGGAGCCGAGGGCCCCCAGGCAGGTGCTGGACATGCTGGTAGACGGGCCCAAGCAAAGGGCAGGGCACGCAGTTCTTGGACTGCCCACGCCCAGAGCCCCAGGGCCACTCTTTCTTGTCCTCACTCTGCCTGGGGGCACTGCCCCCCGCCGCCCTGGGAGGTACCCACAGTGCAGGGGAGATGCAGGAGTCCTGCTCTTGGCATCCAAGCAAGAAAGTGACAGCGTCTCCCAGTGACTGACTTCCATGTCTCAGACTCGCCTGTGTGCACAGGAACTGGGCTTGGGGAGGCCGTAATCCCCTGGCTCTCCACAGATGCCACGTCTCTATCTCTTGTCTTTCTGCCTTCCAGGATGGACAGAACTCAGCAGGCTTCAGGGCTTGAGGACAGTTCCTCGGTCCTGGTCGCCTATGTTGGGTGCTGGGAGCGTCTTGTATACACACCCATCTCCTCAGCCATGGAGCTGCTGGGATCTGGGTCCTGGTTCTCACCCTGGTTGTTGGTGTGGTGCCCTTGGGTGGGGTTGTCTTTGGGGCCTGTGCCCTCTCGATGACCCGAGGACATGCCCCTCCCTGTCCACTCTGAGGACGGGATGCGATGGCGCAGGATGAGAGCCCAGGCTCATCACATGGGTGCCTTCCTGTCCACTCCGAGGACAGGACGAGATGGCGCAGGGTGAGAGCCCAAGCTTATCACATGGGCATGTGCCGTGAGATCCATCTGGTGGCCCCACGTGGGTTTGCACGGAATCCCCGCCAGCTGGGGGCAGGGGCTTTGCCCTCTTTATGTCTGCTGCACACCCCCTGTGCACAGAGTATTTGCTTTCCAGTGTTGGGGAGTGGAGTGTCCGGCTCGGACACAGAACAGGGCCTGGTGGCTGGTTCGGCTCCAATAGGGAGGACAGTCAGTTTCCCAGAGCTGCCCAAACCAAACCCCACAGTATGGGGGCCTGAAGCAGCAGCCGTGGATGCCTTTATAGCTCTGAGGCCAGAAGTCCAAGATCCAGGCGAGGGCAGGCCGGGTTCCTTCTGAGACTCTGGGGGAGAATCTGTCCCTGGCCTCTCTCCAGCTCCTGCTGCTGCTGGCCCTCCTTGGCCATCCTTGGCACCCCTTGGCCTTCTTTGCCTCTCCTAGGTGACCCTTGGCCCTCCTTGGCCATCCTTGGTGACCCTTGGCCATCCTTGGCGACCCTTGGCCCTCCTTGGCCATCCTTGGTGACTCTCGGCCCTCCTTGGCCATCCTTGGTGACTCTCGGCCCTCTTAGGTGACTCTTGGCTGGGAGGCGCATCACCCCGACCTCCGTCTCCGTTTTCCCTTGGCCTTCTCCTCCATGTGTTTTTCTCCAAGTTCTCCCTTTTTTCAAGACTGTCAGTGCCACTGGATTGGGGCCCACTCTACTCCAGTGTGGCCTCTGCTTAATCCCTCCTTAAAGACCTTATCTCTGAAGAGTCCCATTCTGAAATGCTGGGGGCTGGGACTTCCACCTGGGAATGTTGAGGGACATAATTCAACTCAGGGGTTCGCGGGGCGGCACGACCAGGATGCCCGACAGGCATGGATCCTTTCTGACGGCAAAGGACAGGAGCTGGTTCCGCAGGAGGCCCAGGGAACGCCCCGCCACCCCAGGGACTGGCTGCCTATGTCCATCTTGCCCTATTCTCATTTTCGACAGTGACGTGGGGGCTCTCAGGACGAGGCCAGTTGGACCTGGGGACTTTGCCTCTGCAGGACGGGCCTTCCGAAGGCCTGGGTCTGTGGCCAGCTGTGCCCATATGTTCTGAGGTGTTGAGAGCCTCCCTTGTCCCCATCCCCAGGGCTGTGAGGAGCAGGGCATGGTGGGCCTTGGCAAAGGCGATGGGGAGGCCCAGCCACACGTCTTTCTCCTGGAGACAGCCCTCTGTCCTGGTGGGGCTTCTGCAGTATGGCCGGGCCGCCACCCTAGCTTGGGGCACGGGGGCCTTGCTGTCTTCCAGGTGGTTCAGCCTCTGCACACACTCCTGCTCCTGGGCTCACCCTGGCAAGGATGCTATCGAAGAATCCTCGCCCGTTCCTCACCTGGTCTTGCTCTGGGAGCTGCAGTTTAGGGGATCGTGCCTGAGGACAGGGCTGTGGGGCGTAGGTAAGGCCTGGCCCATGGCACTTATGGGTCTGACACGCAGCTGCAGGGAACACGAACAGCTCCCGTGCGGCTGTCTCAGCATGGCCAGAGCTGAGTTCCCTTCAGGCCGTTGTTCCTGGAGCCCAGCGGGGAATGCAGGGACAACCTTGGGGCTGCAGAGCAGGTGGGGTTGCAGCAGGGTGGAGGTGAGGCTTTTGGGACCATGGCCCATGGCCAGCTTCTCCCCCTGACCTGGGCTCTGATGGAAGAAGATGCTGAGGGCCCTACAGGCGAGCTCACCTACCTAGGAGGGGCAGACTTGGAACGTGGCTTTGCCAGAGCCAGTGTCCAACTGCCTCCTGTGTTTATTGCTTGGACGCCTCTTTCCAGGTACCCCCACTCTCCTAGAAGCAATGACAGGAAGACGCAGCCCTGCCCTGGAGGAGCAGATGGACTCTTAGGGAGCCCGGGTTTCAGGGGAATTATTCCTCACCTGCTGGAGGTGGTAGGGAGTGAGCTGGGCCCTGCGGGTACACAGCCTTAGACCACCCATGGCCAGTGCGATAAGAGCGTGGGCTCTGGCTCCAGGTTCTGGGCCTGAGCAATGCACCTCACTTCCGTGGGCCTCGTTTTCCCTTCTGTAGAATCAGGGGATCACCCCCTCAGGCCTCTTAGAGTTTGGAACATCTTCGGTTCTCTGCCAGTTGGCCTGGCTTTAGCTTTTACACAGGAAGCAGCTCTGCTAGGGTGTCTGAAGGCTCCCCCAGAGTAAGTGGGGCACATGGAGCCCTGATAACCCAGGCTGCACAGAGCACGTGCCAATATTCTTGGATCTGAATTCCCCCCTTGTTCTGCTGCTCTGTGTGTTTATATACACATGTGCACATGCATGTACATGTGTCTCTATGTGTATGCACATGACTGTCACACGTGTATGTGCACACACTGTCCATGTGCATGTACTTGCATGTGTGCACATGCATGTGTGTAGATCTATGCAGATATGTTTACGCATGCACATGTTATGCACACATGTGTATGCATGTGTGTACGTGCATGCCTGTATTTGGGCACCTGCATGCACCTGCATATGTATACATATGTATACACACATGCATCTCTGTGTGCATATGTGCATGTGAATGTGTACGTGTACACGGGGCATATACGTATGTGCACGTGTGTGCGTGCATGTGTATTACACACGTGTACACATGTGTATGTGTGTGCATGTGTGTATTTCAAGGTGAAGCATTTTGGTTTGGAAACTTTTAGTGCCTCAGATTAAATCAAAATGTCCTCGAGTTTCAGAGGCACAGCTGAACTTGTGGCCGGCTTGGTCACCTGGCTAGTGTTTTGCGCACATATCTGTTAATAGTGAGGTCAGTAAGCCCAGGGGTGCTTACTCTCATGACTCTCCAGGTGGAGGAACTGAGGCAGACAGCACAGCTTCCCCAGGTTCCCAGAGCCCGGGGGCCTCACCCTCTGTGGTGAGGCCCCCACTGTGCCTTTCTGGATGTGCCAGGGGCTGGTGCTGGGGTCCTCTGAGGGTGGCCATGCAGGGCTGTTGGCCGGGTCCACACCTTACCCAGCCCGAGATAGTTTTCTTACCGTTTCTCTGTTCGTGTTGATGCTTGGTTCATCTCACTATTGGCAATAAAGTTTCTGATTTCTGAGAAATAAGAGTCTTCTTTCTCATCTAAAAGTGCGTGGTTGTCCGACTCTGAGGTGGGAGAGGAGGCGCTGGTCCCCAGGTGGTTCGTGAGGACCCCAGGGTGCTGGCTCACTGCGGAGGGGAGAGAGTGTCAGGCAGTGGCCTCTCGGTGATCCCCTCCCTCCATGGGGCAAACCAGCCGCGAAGAGTGCACACTTGGGGTGCTCTTAGGGAGGCAGGTTTCTTAGGGACACTGGAGAGCTCTGGGTTCTCTTGAATGACTACGGTTTGAGGGGTACCTGTTGGCTTCCTGAGGTATCATCTGTGGCCCTCTTCCCTGCCCGGTGCCCCCTCCCCTCCTCTTCCCCTCCCCCTCTGTGGGGCCTGACCTTGTGGGTGGCCCACCTGGTGCGTTCTCGTGCTCGTGCTTCTTGAGGTGCCGGTCCAGGTTGGTCTGCTGCCCGAAGCAGCGGTTGCACAGGTGGCATTTGAAGGGCTTCTCCTTGTTGTGGATGTTCCGGACGTGCCGCTGGAGGTTCGAAGAGATGCTGAAGGAGCGGTCGCAGTACTTACACCTGGAAGAGGCACACGCGCTCCTCAGCGCAGGCTCTGGCTCTGCCTGGCAGGCCGAGCCACAGAGGGTGGGGGGAAGGGAGCTTGTGTCCCTGCCCTGCGCCCCGTGCACAGCTTTGCCCCGCCGTGTCCCGGAGGCTGCTGGATATCCCAGCTGGAGAGCCAAAGGCGTCCTGGGGAAGCTGTCCCTAGAAACAGCCCTGACTTCAAGAAGTAGGGGTTCAAGGGCCGGGCGTGGTGGCTCACGCCTGTAATCCCAGCACTTTGGGAGGCCGAGGTGGGCGGATCACAAGGTCAGGAGATCAAGACCATCCTGGCTAACACGGTGAAACCCTGTCTCTACTAAAAATACAAAAAATTAGCCGGGCGTGGTGGTGGGTGCCTGTAGTCCCGGCTACTCGGGAGGCTGAGGCAGGAGAATGGTGTGACCCCGGGAGGCGGAGCTTGCAGTGAGCAGAGATTGCGCCACTGCACTCCAGCCTGGGTGACAGAAAGAGACTCTGTCTCAAAAAAAAAAAAAAAAAAAAAAAAAGCAGGGGTTCATTCTTCTACTGTTCTGTGGGTGGTGGATCCCCCCGGAGAGTGTCCCACGTCCCCTGGGCAGGCGGTGCCCCCGACCTTCCAGCGTCTCCCGCCCTCTGTTGTCTGGTTCTCCCTGGTCCCCAGGCCCCGCGGCCGGCAGGTGGGCCGCCGGGGACGACGTGCTCCTTGCAGCCTCCGGAGGGCGGCCTTGCTCCATGGAAAGACGCACGGCAGGGCCAGTCTCCCAGGTGGAGGCTTCCACAGACCAGCACCCAGACCAGCTCCCTGTGACCTTCCGCCTCCAGCCCTCGAGGTGGCTGGGGGCCCCTGGGCAGGCCCCACCTCACTTGGAGCCTCAGTTTGCCGATCCATTCATGGAGGGCTTGGGGGCTGCCCTGGAGGCTGCTACCTGTTGGCTGCCTCCTCTATTAAGGACACAAAGATCACACTGGCCCCTTTGAGCACTACCAGCTCCGGGCTCAGCTTATCTTTACTCCCCCAGGGTGGGCAGGGCTGCGGCCAGCCTGCACCACGCACACGGGAAAGTTGGGATGAGACCCCCTTCCTCCATCTGGCCTCCACGGCATCAGGCAGAGCAGGACTCTAACACCCTGAGCTTAGCAGAGCAAGGCCTTTTGCTGCTGGAAAGTCATCATAACGAGCGATCGAGGAGGGCTGTGTGTGGAGGTTCCCCCTCAGCGTGGGGCCCTTGCACTGGGAGTGACCTCCACAGCCACACGTGGTGACCCTGCAGGCAGGAAAAGGGAGGGTTGTTCGCTCTCATTTTGGAGAGCGGGGCTGAGAGTTAGGGGGCCTGAGCAACACGTGCATTGAGCAGCAAGAAAATCACGCCTGAAACGGAGAGGGGGAGCTGGGCATGAGCTAAGGAGGAACCCCACGAGCTCTGCAGACGCACGTGCGCTGCCTCTGTGAAGACACAGCCTCCTCCCTGGGGGGTACCCGGGGCGGGCAGGGCTGGCTTACTGACACCCGGCTGGGCTGGGCGACGGTGAAGGGAACCCTGACTGCTTGGTTTTCAGTTGCACGTGTGTGCTTGGCGTGTGCATGTGTGCCCCGCCTGTGTGTGCACATTTGTGTGTGCTCTTGGCTATCAGAACGCCCGCAGGGGTGCTTATCTGATCCCAGAGGCACACACACACACTTGAACATTCTGTTTATATGATCGTGCATTTTCATATTTTGAAAACAAAACAAGCTCCATGATGTCCACGGCACAGCATACAGAAAGTCCATCCGATGTGGCAGGATTCTGGCAGGGGGGGCTTGGCAGTAGCCAGAGACCAGGCCAGGGCCTCTGTGGGAGCCTCTGTGGAGGCACCAGGACTGGGCAGGGTTTGTTCACCCGAAGGGGGCGTGGCTGTTTTAAGCACAGTGGCCTTCATTCCCACAGAGGACAGGACTCCGAGAGGCCCCACCCCGCCCCGACCGGTGCTGGTAGCCCGCTCCAGTGCAGCATACGGGTCACGTGCCCTTGTCACATGGATGGGGACGTGCCTGGCGACACTCGGGAGTCCTGGCCTACCAGACCGGGAGGGGGTGTGGTTCAGCCTTCTCGGCGCGGTGCTGCCCTGTACAGGAGGGGCCTGGACTGGTGTTTGCTATCACAAAAGCCTGGCGAGGGAGTCTGACCGCCATCAACACACCCGCAGGGGCCTCCCCGAGGCAGGAAGCTGCAGTCCCGCACCTTCCGGGCCCAGGAGCTCAGCATTCCCCACACGGAGGGGCTGTGGCCGTGAGAAACTGTCCTTGGAATCTCAGAGCCTGCGAGTCTCCCCCGCTCCCCAAGCTGCCTGGTAGAACCTAGGAAGTCTGATAATGGGTCCCCTAGAGAACGGAGGCAGTCCCGGGAGAAGGGCCCTCCTCTCCCACACCTGGCCATGGCATTTCCACGTCCCACCCACTTCGCCCCTGGCGCTGCCCTGAGGCTTCATCCACTCAGTTCCCGAATCTTCCAACTGTTGCCAGAGGTCAGGCTCACTCTGGCCTGTTCCACGGGAGACAAGCAAAGAACCATTTGTGATGGAAGTCCCCAAGCTCCCCCGAAGTGACCCTCAACCTTCTCTGCTCCTGAACCCAGGGGCCCGGCCTGTGGGCTTCTCTGGGAGCCCCTGCTCCTCCCCAGGTCAGCTGAGCTGCCTCCGGGTACCCAGGTCCCAGCCTCTCCTCCCGCAGCCCAGTGACAGGCAGCGCCCTGGCTTGTACTGGCCATCCACAAAGCCTGCCCTGGGCGGCGCTGCAGTTTTGTTTTACTCGGCCTGTGAACTCACACAAGAGTAAGGTTGAGGATGGAGCCCTTTCGGCAGCTGGGGTGGAGATGCTTGGGTGCCCCCCTACCCGACATGTCCCACACAATCTCCGGGAAAGGAGGGATTTTACACCCCCGAATGCATTTTCTCACATCCCCCACCCTGATACATCCTTAGACTGGAACGGTGGTGCCCGGCCCTGGGACCGCCCTGCTTTTGAGGCTGACAGACTGCCGAGAAAGGACACACTGGACCCTGCGTCTCCAGCCCAGATGCAAATTCAGGCCCTGCCCAGCCAGAGGCTTCCCACCCAGCTGGGGCCATGTGCCCCTCTGGCATGTGGACGCAGCCCAGTCTGTCTGCCTGCCTGATTGTCTGTCTGCCTGCCAGTCTGCCTGTCTGTCCATCTGTCTGTCTGCCTGCCTGTCTGTCTGCCTGCCTGTCTGTCCATCTGCCTGTCTGTCCATCTGTCTGTCTGCCTGCCTGTCTGTCTGCCTGCCTGTCTGTCCATCTGTCTGTCTGCCTGCCTGTCTGTCTGCCTTCCTGCCTGTTTGCCTGCCTGTCTGTCTGCCTGCCTGTCTGTCCACCTGTCTGTCTTCCTGCCTGTCCGCCCTACCTATCTGTCCACCTACCGGTCTGTCTGTCTGCTTTTTGCCTGTTTGCCTGCCTGTCTGTCTTCCTGTCTGTCCGCCTGCCTGTCTGTCTGCCTTCCTGCCTGTTTGCCTGTCTGTCTGTCCGCCTGCCTGTCTGTCCACCTGCCTGTCTGTCTGCCTGTCTGTCTGCCTGTCTATCTGCCTGTCTGTCTTCCTGCCTGTCCGCCCTGGCTATCTGTCCACCTACCAGTCTGTCTGTCTGCTTTTTGCCTGTTTGCCTGTCTGCCTGTCTGTCCGTCTGCCTGTCTGTCCGCCTGCCTGTCTGCCTGCCAGTGTGTCTGCTTGTCTGTCTGAATGTGTGCTCACACACAGCTCATTCAGTTCCTGGTTTCTTTGGAAATGCAGCGACCTTTGCAGAAACTCCACCTAATGGCTCCTGTGTAAACCCCGCAGCTGGGGATCCGAGGTGAGAAACGGGATTGGAAAAGAAGCTTGTTCATGAAACTGGTGGAGAGCAAGTCCCTTGTGTGAAGTTCTGGGGCTGGGGAGAGCCACGGATGGGGCTGTGCGTTCCATTTGGTTGCGGAGAGCCCTGAACGTGGCCCTCTCTTGCTTCTAATCTAAATAAATGGCCCAGAGAGAGAAGTCCATTTGAAATTTAGGGGAGCCGTGAGCCCAGGGCTGCAAGGGAGCAGAGTTCTCCGAGCAGCTGGGGTCTGCGTTGTAAATAAGCTGACAAGCGGCCGGTGAAATTGATGGCCTCACTGTGTAAAATAACACGCCTGTGAGCTCCAAAAGGAAGGAGAATGTGCAGGGTAGCCTGGCCCCAGCACACTGCGGAAGGGAGAGGACCTTGCTGTGACAGTGCCTGCCGCACTCCCAGGGAAGCCATCAGCAGGGGGACAACAGAGCACGGGCAGGTCAAGGGGAGGTGGCCAGTGCCCCCGAGCCCCTGAGCCCTGGGCAGCAGCATCCTTCCTGGGATCCAGTGGGGTCTCCTGCAACCACTACAGGGGGAACTGCTTTTGGTGACTGTAAAAGGGAGGGAAGAGGAAGAAAGAAGGTATTTTGAAACCCAGCAGTAAAAATAAAACTAAAAAGGAAAGGACAGGCATGGGCCACCGGCAGCCCCCGATGGAAGCACAACTATGGCTCCCTTGCACGCTCCAGCTTCACACAGAAGGCAGGACTGAGCCTGGGGGGATGACGGAAGCACACGGCAGACCAGGGAGCCAGCAGCCCTGAGGCGGGAATCTCAGGTCCCGGCAGGAGTCCTGGGCAGCCCGAGCAGGCTCGCATCCAGGGTGTGACTCCAGGCTCCACTGGGCATCGTCCCAGAGAGACCTCCAGGCCAGCCGTCAGGATGAAGACCAAGGAGCAGCCCCCTTCCCCATTCCCATTTCAATGTTTATGCTTCTCCAACCCAAATCCCACAAAACCTACATGCTTTATTTTTATTTTTAAGAAATAAGAGTGACATTAACTGAATCTCACCTTCCCACTTCACTCAAAGACCTCGAGGCCAGGAGAAGCTAGGGGCCAAGTTACCTCCAGGAAATGTATTTGGTGCACCAAAGGCTCTACGTTCCCTACCTCAGGGCTTTGAAACACATTCTGAATGATTTCAGGTCATTTGAGGCAAGGACCTAAACGGAAGAGGCTTCCAATGTCATCTGGTTTGATTACCCGATCGCTCTAGGCAACCCATGAGAAGCCCGCTTCCTCCTGCTTGCGTGGGGCTGCGTCAGCCCGACCTCTCCAGGGCACACACATACGCACATGCAGCGGGCACACGCGTGGGTGCTGGCACCGGGAAGGGGCTCACACTGGGGTGGGCATGGGGGGCTTGGGCTCCTCTTGGCGGGCTTCTGGGGATGGCCAGCACTTTCCCTCCTCCAACTTAAAATCCTTCTGATTATCAAAGCCAGTCCAGAAACCAGATTATCAAAGCCAGTGGTATCAAAAGGAAAGCTACACGCTCCAAACCCCTCGGCACAGACCTGCCTTGAGCCAGATAAAGTCAGGATTTGCAACACAAACTTGCAAAGCAATTATTGTTACCAAAGTCGAAACTCAGATTGGAGAGAGCAAAAGAAATCAATGATAATTAAATTCTTCTATAAACACCACCCCAACCCTCTAGGGGCTCTTAGCACACAACGCTGTCCAGAAGTCGGCTCTCATTACAGAAAAAACACACAGCTCATTTTCTGGGAGGGGACCAGACCAAATAAATCTTTCTGTTGCTAGCCTTTGTTAAGTTGTAAGTCACTATTTTTTGAAGGGTGGGCAAGGGGGGGCCTGTGAGTTGGGGAGGGCTGTGAGCATTGAACAGATGACCTATAAGTAGTATGAGCTGTCATTTACCCTGCGAGTTGGGACACAGCCCTGGAGCAGCCGGGGATGCTTGCTCTGTCTCAGAGTGGGGGTCAGTGACCAAAACATGCACAGGTGCCTCAGCTGGTCTCCTTCCCCAGGGATGGAGACACAAACGGAGTCCCCAGTGCTTGCATTATCATGTGGTCCCTCTAGCTCTGTGTGGCCAGAGGACAGAAATCTTACGCTGTCAACTTAAGTCGTGTGAAACACTCTTTATCCCCAATGGCCTCTGTGAACAGACACACCCTGCATGTGTCACTAAACCAACCTTGGCAGAAAACCAGTGTTTCCTCCTTCGCCTCCCAGTTACCATTGTCTGGGGCTCTCGCTTAAAATGCCCACTCCCAGGCACTGACCCTGGTGATTCATGGGACATCTCTGAGCCTCGGGCCCCTCATCTTTGAAACGGGATGACAAGCCTCTTGGGAGGCTGTTGTGAGCTCCAAATTCAATGCCTTCCCCATCCTGATGAGCTGTGTGACTGCTTCTCTGCAGGTGGCAGCCGGCTCCTCAGGTGAGAGGAGCACAGGGGGATCCTGGAATCAGACGCACCGCTTCCCATCCAGGCTGTCCCTAGAACCCCTTAGAATCCCTGGTGGGCTCCAAGTGCAGAGTCCCACCCTGCCTTTAGCCCACTCCCTAGCCCACCAGGGGTGAGGGTGTGGGGGCAGCTATGGCTGTAGCTGAGATGAACGGAGTTGGGCTGGGGTGGGGAAGCTGAGGTTTTCTCCCATGTGGACCCTCTGGGCCATGGCTCTGCTCAGCCCTGCTCTGATGGGGATCCCCTGCCCAATGGACACCCTAGGGTGGCTGGAGAGCTGCTCCCTCACATCTTCGAGAGCCAGGCAGATGCCTTCCAGAAGGTTCCTGGGCACCTCCTGCCTCATCCTCACAACATCCTGGTGAGACCAGGAGGGGAGGGCCAAAGTGACCAGAATTGAGCACCCGGCCCCGCCCACTGCCTGCTCACTCCAGCAGAGAGCCCTGGGAGGGGCACACTGACTCCTAGAAGTGGGTCAGCAGTGCACGGAGGCAGGTGGCCCCGCCCCACACCCGGCCCGGGCGGCACCTACCTGTACGGCTGCTCCCCAGTGTGCGTCCTCAGGTGTCTGGTGAGATTGGCTGATCTGGGGAAGATCTTCCCACAGTACCTGGGGTGGAGGGAGGTGGGAAGGGTGAGGGAGGATTAGGGCAGGTTCACAAGGCCATTTCCCAGAAATGGTTTCATGCTAATGCTCAGGGTCTCACACCTGATGCACAGGTGGGCCCATCCCAGCATCCCAGTTTCAGTCTCTTCTACAGCCCTGAAGCCCAGCCTCGGTTACAGAGCAGCCTGCCATGGGCCACAGGAGTAGACAGACCAGCCCCTGTCCTCTGAAGCAACCTGGCCCCTCAGTCTGGCATTGGACAGTGCAGGCTCCAACAGAGACTTGGACGGGCCTGCACCAGCACAGGGTGGCTGGGAGGGTGTTATCCTGACACTGCAGAAATCGGCTGAGGCTGTAGCACTGGACTGCCCATCCCTCCAAGCGCTGAGGTTAGTCACTGACCAGCACACCCCAGCCCCAGCCTTCCCAGTTTAAGCTGGGGTGAGGTTGCATTTTCTTGAGCTCACATGAGCACAGCATGGTGTGAGGCAGGGGAGGCCACCCATGTCAGTTATTTGCAAAGCATGACCTCAAGCAGATAATCAACTGATTACGGTGCTGTGCTTTCCTGTGGCCAGGACTCTGAGTTTTTCCTGGAAGCATAAGTTCACAGCCACAGGTGTAGCATTTGAGCCCCAACAGGGCTGTCCCAGCAGCACCCTAGGACCCCTCACCTGCACGTGTATCGCTCCTTGCCCTTCCTGAGGATGGGATCAGAAAGCGTTGGGGGTGGGGACCGGAAGTTGAAGGGGTGGTGGGAGAGGGGCTGCAGGGAGCTGCCCGAGTCGGCCTTCATGGCTGCAAAACTCTCTAGCTTCTCCGTCATGGTCTCTATGGCTGACATCTGTAGGCATAAGAGTGGGAGGTTATGGACTCAGCTGACTCTCACCTGTTTTCAAGGGCATGCACTGCTGGGGGTTCTGTACAACAGCATATCTTAGGGTGCTCAGGTGGGCACTGGAAGCAATGGTCTCCTAGTATCTTCTTGGACCCTGGGTTGGATTCTTACACCTTTCTGTAGCCAGCCCTGCTCTTGTTCTTCCCTGAGTCCCTCGTTTATAGTTTAAGGTCTTGCCTGCAGGAGCTGAAACTGACCTTTAGCCACCAGCCTCACTGCCTGGTTTGGGTGGGACCTGAGTGAAATGGATAGCTGATGTTTATGATTACCCCTTATCTGACCCAGGCCGGCAAAATGCCCAGCTGACTTGACTCCTGGCCAGCACTTCTGGTTGGCTAGTTTGGGTTAAATGTAGAATTACATTTAGTTTAACATCAAACATTTCACTTTTTAGTCTTGAAAAATTAAAATAGCAACCTGAATCTCAGTTTAAAACATAGATTGTGGGCCTGCCGAACCACTGCCACCACGTGGTGGCATGCCATAATTGCAGGCAAAGTTCTAAGGAATTCAACAGCCTCTTTAAGACTTAATCCCACAAAGGAAATATTCAAAATAATAACGCCAAATGTCACATGACACAGGGCAATTTGATATGGGCAATAGGAGCTGCCTCTCTGCTCCCTGAAGATGCCCAGGGCTTGCTCGATTAGGAGAGTGGAAGCATGGGATTGGTCATTTTCACCCAGTGGGCAGAGCTCTGATCAGAATACCAGACTGTCCTGGCCCCACTGAGGTCTCCGACAATAGTGACAGGAGAGGGGAGGGGCTGGGCTGATGGAGCTGCTCAGTGTCAGCCCCGCCTCTCCCAGCTCCTTTTCTCTTTGAAGATAAGGAGTAGCTCCCAATGGAGAAGGAGACGGGCTGTGATACCTGCTGTGTGCCAGGCCCTGTAGGGGGCTGCGTAGGGGCTGAAAAGGAAGAGTGTTCATCATCACCTGAGGGGTAGCAAAAGGCAACACAGGGAACAAACCCGGGGCCTCCGCACCACACCTCCAGCCTCCAGACACCTTTGCTAAACAGGTATTTTCATAGCCCGCCTCCCCTGGGAGCTCCCAGAGAAGGGGATGGTGAGGGAGGGCAAGGGTGAGGCAGGAACTGATAGAGATGCAGAGGGAAGGGAGAGCTTGGGGTTCCCCAGGTGCTGGTGTCACTGGGAGGAACTGGCCAGGGTGTGGGTTCTTGGCACCCAGTCTCCACGGAATGGGTGTGGGGGTGAGGAGAAGGGCAGGTGGGGACCTGCCTCATCCAGGGCCCTCGTGTGGGGCTCGCTGCCTCTGGGCAATGCTCAGAGCCAGCTCCATGGGGGTGACCTGCCCATTTACAGCAAGACCCTGGCCCTGGCTGCCCACTGGCAAACAAAACTATCCCGTCACACAGCTGGGGCCTCTCAGAGTCCGAGTGCCTGGCACTCAGCTTTTCGGAGACCTGCTTGCCAGGGACTTATCCAACCACTGCTGGTAGGGAGCAGAGGGCTTTCTACAAATGCTCCCGGAGACCACATGACTCCATAGTGGGGACGTTTTGCTATTTGGGGAACAACTGACTGGTAACAATAAAAATACCCAGAAAGAAATGAACAAGTAGACACTCGTGTCCGTCCACAGTGGCCGAGGCCTCCCCTCTGGCCCCTTCCAGCCCCACCCAGGCCGTGGAGGTCAGGCGTCTCCCGCCTCTGGGAGGCAGGCATGTTCTCATCTTGATGAGAACCGGTGATGGGCAGATCGAAGCTGCCCCACTCTCTGAGCCATCAAGTGGACCTCACCAGCCCGTCTGCAGCCCGGAGCAGCGGGACTGAGGTCTCCGCACAGTCAGCCTCTTGGGCTTTGTCGAGGCCGTTAGTAACTGGTGCCTTCTGCTCGAGTGATGGCCCAACCTTAGACCATTTGGTGACTTATTAGTCATCTCTCTCTTCCCACCCCCACCTCCTGGCTCCGGGCTGCAGGGACAGGCAACGGGGGTGGCAGGCCTGTGGGGACAGCAGGCAGGAGGGACAATGGCAGCTGCCCCCCGCCAGGCTCCCTTCCTCGGGCCTGGGTGGACCTCTTCTGCCCGGCTTGTTCCGCCCAATCAGATATTCCCGGCCTCGATCCCCGCACAAACACAAACACAGGATGCGCCTGGCTGGCTCGTGGCTCTTTCCAGCCCATCCCGAAGAAAATCAGGGGAAGTTATTAACCAAACTCCACGGCCCCGGGGAAACAATGGGAGGCACTAAGTTTAGCTGTGAACTCAGCTTGGGCGCAGGTTTCACAAACCGGGGGTGGGGGGCCCCGTCCACAGCAGGCTCAGCCTGGGCGCAGGTTTCACAAACTGGGGGTGGGGGGCCCCGTCCACGGCGGGGAAGGCTGAGAAACAGAACAATGCCCCGGCCTGGTCTGCGGTCTGTCAGGGCCAGGGCCACTGAGCGACCCCCAGAGTGCAGCCCTCCAGGTGCAGCCCACAGCCCTGCGGAAGGGGCCAGGCTCCCAGCAATGAGACCAAGTCAGTAGGGGACAGGAGACTGAGGAGACTCTGCCCTGGCCATGCTGCCCACCCACTATTTTGCTCCCAGGATGTGGCCTCAGGGGCAGGCAGGAGCGACTCCAGGCCTGGCAGGGTCTGCACCCGCCTGTCCGGACTGGGGGGCCCTCTGGGTCTCTTTCCAGACCCCCTGCCCACCACCTCCCTGGGGCCTGGCTCCATGCCCCTCTCTGCATGCTCAGGCCCTTCCTCTCTTCTGGTCCATTTGAACACACTCGGGTCCTGTGCACCCCGGAGAGCGCGCCCACGCTGTGTCCTGGGGCTGCCACCTGAGGCTGCTCCCCTCACTCACAGTCCCTGCCCTCGATCCTCCAGGCTCTGCCCATGACTCCAGTGAAGCTCCTTCTCCCTCCTGGAGCCCAGAGCCAGGGTTCAGAGATGTCCCTGGGGCGGCCCCGTGAGAATCGCTCTCAGTCCTCAGCCTCTCCAGCCTACAGTGACCTGAGGGGCCACAGGGGGAGAATCCTTCTCTGCCTTTGAGGGCGTCTGTGCATGGTGTGGCCTGGATGGGAACTCAGGCTCCAGCCTGGCCGCTGAGCCTCAGCAGCCGGGCGGTGGGGCCCCTGGCATGTGGGTTACAGGGCGTCCTGGTCTGCACTGAGGACGTACCTGGGGGTGGAAGAGCAGCGGGGACGGCCGCAGGTACTTCTCCTTCAGGGCTCCCACGGGGTCCGTGACCTTCCGCTTTTCTACCCTGCTGGACAACAGCACAGAGGGTTACGTACCCCACCGAGCCGCCGGCCCTGCCGAGCCACCCGCCCCACAGAGCTGCCCACCCCACCTGTCCATATGCCCGGCCAGTCACAAGGTCATGGTGTGGGCCTCGCTGGGGCTGCCCTAACTTTGACCAGACTCCTCTGTGGGCCTTGGGGATGTCAGGGGCCCAGCCCACCTGCACCCCTAGACGGACCCTCCCTGTTACCACTTGCCCCTGAACATCTTCCTTGGTGGTTCCCAGACACCTCCCACACCTCCAAGTTCCCCTTGAGGGCCTTCAAAGACCCCTGGCTGCCAGCACCCCTGCATGTCATGGGTACTAAGCCCCCACTGCCAGCACCCCTGTATGTCATGGGTACTAAGCCCCTGCTGCCAGCACCCCTGCATGTTCTGGGTACTAAGCCCCCACTGCCAGCACCCCTGTATGTCATGGGTACTAAGCCCTCATTGCCAGCACTCCTGCATGTCCTGGGTACTAAGTGCACACAGCTGGAGTCTTCTCTGAAGGCCCTGTGCACCCCAGCCTCCCTCCCGCTAACTGGCCGGTCAGCCCTGCATGAGTGGGGACCACTCTGACGGGGGTCCCTGGACCTGCTCACAGCACAGCGTGGCTCACACTGGAGGCTCAAGGCCTCCTCCCCTCCTTCCCTGACTCAGCCCTTGGCACACATGGGCGTGCTGCCCGTGTGTGCTGATGAACGTGAGTGACCAGCAGGTTTCTGTCCTGGGGAGGTCACCAGGGGCTTCCTGTGGCGCCCGGACAGGGGCCTGTCTAAACACCCTCCAGGGCTGCTGGAGGTTACAGCTCCAGAACCTTCCCCAGATGCCGGTGACAAGCCTGCTCATTGAATCACAATACAAATCTCCTGTGGTAAACAGAGGCGGCGGGCAGAGCCATCTGCTGGCCCTCCTTTGGCCTGGCGGCTCTTGAAGGCGGCCTGCTCTTCTCTGTCTGCCTGGTCTGAGGGTTAGATTTGGGAAACTCTTTCCCGTCACTGAGAACGCTTTGGTAAATCTGCCGCCCCGCTCCGAGACCCAGCACCCCCAGCATGTCTAGGACTGGCCGCTTTTGCTTTATTCGGATGGGACTTGCTCAGCATTGCCTGCCTGTCTCCTTACATGGTGAAGCGGAGAGCACAGGGAGAGGTGCTGGTGGGGTTAGGACCCCCTCCCCAAGCCTGGCCCTACTCTCCCAACCCACCTGCATTCTAGGGAGGGGCAAACCTGCCCAGAAATTAGGGAGTGGCATTAAACTCGCCTCTCCCCAGAAGGGGCATCAGAGACATGGGGCACTCGGGTCTAGAAAACTAGAAAACCCTCCAGTGCTTGCTTCCTCCCGGCCTCCTTCTCCCCTCCAGGGACCATTGGCTCCTTCTCTGATTCCCCTGGGCCTCCAGAGAGACAACCCCTCCCCACTCCCCCTGCTTCTGTGGCTCCAGGGGCAGGAGCGCACCAGGAGGGGCAGGAGCACACCAGGAGGGGGAGGAGCGCACCAGGAGGGGCAAGAGCGCACCAGGAGGGGCAGGAAGCACTCAGCCCAGGCCCCTCTGACTTCTGCAGGTGGGGGCTGGGGACATCTGGACCAGAGACGACAGCTGGAGAGAGGGGTGGGGAAGGGTGGGGTTGGGACGGGGGTGGGGGTTCCTGGACAGGAGGGGCTCGAGACCAGCTGTGTGATGTCTGAGTGGTCATCAGTGCAAGAAAACCGCACATGTCTGGGAGCACCCATCCTGGCCTCCCAAACACGGCCCGGGCCAGGCACCTAGCTTAGGAACAGACAAGCCAGGCATCCTCCTGAGGGGTGCAGACCCCCCCCAAGAACAGGGGCATCTTCCTGAAGTCAGCAAAGGCCAGGGGACGACCTTGGAGGAGCTTGAAAGAGACACCAGCATGCACTGAGCCCGCCCAGCACTGCCGTGGCCCCGCCCCAGGGAGAACCAGTGAGGCTGGGGTGCTGAATACCTGTAGATGGGGTCCATGAAGAAGGGCGAGGGCTTGGCGTAGTGGAGTGGGGGCTGCTGGGGCATCCGCGCCGGGCACACCTGAGGCAGCCCCTCACCGACACCCAGCTTGCGTTCCCCGTAGACGTGGTTCTTCCGGGGCTCCCGCCCGCCGCCGTTCTGGCTGGCACGGGCCCGGCTGCCGATGCTCAGGTCCAGCGGCTGCTCCTCGCTGGATGCGGGTGCCGAGGGGCCCTTGGGCATGGGAAGGACGGGCTTCACGTCTTTGGGCTTGGTGGTGAGATCGAAGGGGCACTCGGCACTGGGGCCGCCCACCTTGAGGGCGTCCCGGGGTGACTTTGGCTCGGCCTTGACCAGCAAGTTGTGGGCGAGGGCTCGGTCCGTGAAGGGGTAGAGGGAGTGGGGAAAGTTGGGCAGGAACTGGAAGGGGAACGCTGAGTGGTAGGGGAGCGAGCCCAGCTTCTTCTCCTGCATCCCCATGAAGCCGGGGCCAAAGTACTTCTCGGCAATGGACGCGATGGCCTTGATGGAGTCCCCGGCAGCGCCCGTTGCCGTCAGTAGCTGCTCGTCAGGCGGCGGGAAGAATGAGTGCTGGGAATAGAAGACAGGCACCTCGGCCACGCTGTTCGGGGCTCCCGGGGGCGCCAAGCCGCCCCCAAACTCGGGCTGGCCCTCGGCCGACTTGCCCTTGCCCTTGTCCTTGTCGGGGTCGCTGTCTACGTCGCTGTCCAGGTCCGAGCCCGTCCCCGTGGTCGTGTCCAGGTCGGTCCCCGTGGTGGTGTTGACGTCCTCAAAGTCACTGCCGTCTGACATGTCGCTGCTCCTGGTCTTCAGCTTCTCCACACAGGAATCCTCCAGGCGGCTCTCGAACTTCTCCTCGGGCCCCGCAGCTGCCGTCGTGCCCTGGCTGCTGTTGCTGACGGCGGAGACCAGAGGCAGGGCTGGGTTCCCCAGGGGGCTGGGGAGCTTGGCGTCCTGGGTGTGGTTCAGGGGGCTCTTGAGCAGTGGCGTGGGAGGTAGCAGAGGTGGCCGGGGGTACAAGGACGGAGGGAAGATGCCCGGGAAGCCGGGGGTGAGTGCGGGGAACGCGGGAGGCGCCGTGGAGAAGGGCAGGCTCCCTGGGTGTGGCCTGGAGGGGAAGTACTCGTTGAAGCCCAGGCTGGCATGATTGAGGCTGGGGGAGGGTTTTGCTTTGTCCATCATGGGACTGGGGGTCAAGGGCAGGCCCGGGGCGAAGATGCTGCCCGGCGTGTAATGGTTCTTGCCCTCGCAGAAGCGCCGGTGCTTGTTGAGGGAGGAGGTAGTGCTGAACATCTGGCCGCAGTCCTTGCACTTGATCTGCGTGCGGCAGTCGGCGTGCATCCGCTTGTGCCGGCACAGGTTGGAGAACTGCGTGTAGGACTTGTGGCAGACCTCACCTAAAACATCAGCAGGAGCCAAGACAAACCCGCATGAAATGACCGGGAAACCCTGCTGAAAATGCCGCATGAAATTGCTGGGAAACCCAGCCGCTGGAGGGGCGGGGCTGGGGCTGGAAGCAGTCTGGGTGCACATGCATGGGCATGGGCGGATATGTGTGTACTGTGCGTGCATGTGTGTGCATACACACAAATATACAGGCAGGTGCATGTGTGTCTGTGTGCGTAAGTGTCCGTGTGTGGGGGGGCAGGTGTGCATTCTGCAAGCGTGTGTGTCTGAGTGTGCATACATGTGCACACATGAGCATGTGGAAATATATGTGAGTGTGCATGCGCCCACCCCAAGGCTGGCCTCCAGTGACCAGAACAGATCCTGGGGTCAGTTGGTACAGATCCTGCTGTGCCTCCACCTTCTTTGCTGGAGAATGGGCTTGCGGCTGCTGTTCCCACCCTCCTAGCCCATGGTGTTGCTAATTTGGGAGCCAAGATTTTCAGAAGTCCCTGGGGAAGGCGAGCCTGCTCCCCAGGGTGGGGCACGGGCAAAGCGAAGGTATGTGATGGTGTCTGCCACCCCATCAGTGGACTCAGGGCAAGCTGGCTCAGGGACTGCCCTGCTTTCGTCTTCACTTCTGCAGCTGTTCTAGGAGGGGTGGGGGCAGGATGCTGACCATGCAGACTGGGCCTTCTCGTCTCTAGAATTTCACAGTGTTCCTGGTGTCCTCCGGCCTCCCCCTCCGCCCCAGTTCCTGCTGCCTGCACCCCAGAGAAGGTAGCCTCTGGGGTGACACAGACAGTTCCTGAGGTTCTCAGGAGGCCCCAACTCGGGGAGCTCAGACTTTGGGGCTCCTGGTGGTACTCGGCCACCCTTTGGAGATGGCTCGAGGTGGACATGGATAGGAGGTCACCCTGGGCAGGAGCCCCATGCAGAGGGACTATTCCCTGCTTGAGAAAAGTGAAAATCCTGCCACTGGGTACCTCCTCAGACTGGAATGGAAGCTGCCATGCCCAGCTCTGGCTGGCGAGTGCCAGCATCTTCTCTCAACAGGAGAGGGCAGTGCCGGCCCAGCCAGAATCCAGGACCCAGCGGCCTGGGGGTTCTGACCATTTTCCTAAAGGCCTGTGAACGGGTGTCACCAAATTGCCAGCTTGTCTTTTGCCTCTTGTTTTTCTAAGAAGAAAGGGAGGAACACACACACATCTACACGCACACACACACAAGCACACACCACATTCATACACATGCACACACACACCACACACGCACACACAACACACACACGCACACACAACACACACACCACACACACACGCACACCCCTCCACACACACGCACACACACAACCACAACCCCACAAGCACACACACACCACATACACTCACATACACACACACCACACACCCCCACACACACCACACGCATGTACACATACACCACACACACACATCACACACACACCACACACACAACCACACACCATACACAGCATACATACACCACACACACACACACACGCATGCACATGCACACATGTGCACACACACATGCCACACACACCACACAGATGCACATACACACCACACCCATACCCACCACACACCACACACATACACACATACACCACACACACACTCATACCACACACACGTGCACATACACACACCAAACACACACCACATTTACATACACCACACACACCCCTCACCACACACAACCACACACAACACACATGCACACCCACCACACACACGCACACACATGCGCACACGCACACACCACACACGCACACACCACACACGCACACACCACACACGCACACACCACACACGCACACACCACACACACATACACACCCCCTGGCGAGTGTCTCTCTCTCTCTCTGTAGGACGATTTGCTTCCTAAACACAGCGCAGTGGAAACAATGATTTCAGCAAGCTTCTCGCTCACCAGAAATGGTCGGCGGCCTGATCTCCTTCGATTCCAGCTGGGAGCTTTTCCCCTGAGATTATCATGTTCTTTCATTACAACATCTATTTATATTAACCGCTCTACCCTCCTGCTCGTCCAGCCTGGCGGGGCGTGTGCAAGGCTGAGGGGAGAAGAACTTGGTCTCGTTTTATCAAATCTGCCCTCTCTGGAGGGCGGCTGATGGACAGGTGACCCTCCACAGAGAGGGTCTGTAAATGCCCCTCGGTCACCTTCCTGGCCCTTGGGGAGGCGCTCAGCCCTGCCGGCCAAACCAGCACACCCTGGCTGTATCCTGGCCTTTGCCAGGCCCTAGTGGTGCCTGGTCAGTGGCTACTGCCATCCTGACTTGGAGACTGGCTTTGAGCAGCCTCTGGCCCAGGGCAGCTCCAAGGAGGGGCCTCCCAGGCCAGCGGCTGTGCCTGGGCTCAGGGACCTTTGGTTCCCACCCATTCTCACTGATGGAGGGCCCTGAAGTGGGGAGATGTACAGAAGGACTGGGGAAGAGGAGGCGACTGGAGAGACTGGGGTCTGTGCGGGGGCAGGTCCTGAACGCTGGGGATGGCCTCAGCTGGCTCAGAGCTGGCAGAGGGAGGCAGTGACCTGAAAGGGTGGAGGACGGCCTGGGCAGCCAGTGAACCGGACCTGGGGCCAGCGCCTGCAGAGGGAGCCCCCCCGGGTCCTGCCGAGATGGGAAGGGTCCAGGCTGGTGCTTGCTCTGGACGGCAGTTTCTTCTCCTCGCAGAGTATCTGTGTGAATGCACACTCACACTCAATCCTGCACAACTCACACACACCGACACACGCACCAGCTCACGTGCCCACACTCACGCTCTCACACACATCGACACACACACCAGCTCATGCGACCACACTCTCACACTCTCACATGTGCTGACACACACACCAGCTCACGTGCCCACACTCACGCTCTCACACATGTCAACACATGGACCAGCTCACGTGCCCACACACATGTGCCGACACATGCACCAGCTCACGCACCTACACTCACACTCACATGTGCTGACACACACCAGCTCACGTGACCACACTCTCACTTGCGCCGACACGCACACACTTGCACCAGCTCACGTGCCCACACTTACACAATCTCACACATGCCGACACACACACCAGCTCATGCACCCACACTCTCTCACACACCAACATATGCACCAGCTCACGCACCCACACTCACACTCTCACACATGCCGACACACGCACACACGCACCAGCTCATGTGCCCACACTCACACTCTCATGCTGACACATGCACACACGCACTAGCTCAGGAGCCCACACTCACACTCTCACACACGCTGACACATGCGCCAGCTCACGTGCCCACACACGCTCTCACGCCAACATGCACCAGCTCACGTGCCCACACTCACACGCTCTCACACACATCAACACATGCACCAGCTCACGTGCCCACACTCTCACACACGCACACACTTATTAGAGCAAAGGCCCTTTCTGAAAAGTGCCCAGTGGGAACCTGTCCACCTCATTCCCGGATATACTTCCTCTCTCTCCTGTTCTCCTCTCCTCTCTCCCTACCCCCCTTTCTCTTATACCCATGCACACACACACTTGCGTGTACACACCCCAGCGCACAGGTGAGTTCCTTGGTGGGAAAGACATCACCAGGAATGACACCCCGTCCATCTGTGTGGTCCGTGAGGTGGGGGCTTAGGGCTTCCATCTGCCTGTGCCATGGGTGTGTCACCCAACGGGTGGACAGAGTCTGGCTGTGAGTGCCTGCGTGACTGTGACCTCTCCTGCAAGCAACTGACCGTTCCTGGAAAGGGTCACACTATTTGGGCTCCCTCGCTTGTTTGCAAATCCTCCTCTCCAAGCCTGAAGACCCCCTTCCACAGGTGCGCCAAAGGACGCTGTGCCGCGGCCTGGGGGATACCGGGGCTGGGTTGCATGTATCTGATCTAATTTCTAAGGGAATGAGGTCTTTGTAAACCTGATCTGCCCATCTCCGGGGTTTTCCTTTAAGCTTTATCCCCTTAGCCAAAAGCCAAGGCACAAAGGTGAGCCAGGAGTGTGGACAAGAGGTGCAAGAGCCGCTGAGGCCAGGCAGGGCCAGCCGAGCTTCCCTGTCCTCACTCCCTCCACACGGGATGGGGAGCAGCTTGCAGCGTGGTGGGAACTGTAGGCTCCAGCCGCCCAGGGTGCTGCAGCTCCTGGAATACACATCATTAATGTGATGCAATGGGACTTTAGAATGCCCGTCTGCACGCCCAGAGGGGCAAGGACGTTTAAATCTAGGTCCAATGTTTGTGCTTCTGAGCTTGCTATAGAACTCCGCACTGTCATCTGAGGCACTGACTGGTGCTGCTCTCGCAGTGGGAGTCACTTGACCTGCATCTGGGAGCAGTCACCCCCAACCCCAGCCCCTGACTCCTGCCCAGCTTGCCCAGTGCTGGCTTCTCCCAGAGGGAAGGGGTACTGTGCATCGGGGCGCCAGAGCCGGGCACACTGCACGCAGGCTCCTCCTGGGAGATCGGTGGTCAGCAAATGGGAAAATGGTACTTGCGGAACGGCCAGCAGGGAGAGCTCCGTCTCCCTTTGGCTCCTCAGTTGGTGGGAGCATGTGGCCCAGGTTGGGCTGGGGGCTGAGTCACCCCTAGCAGGATGGCTGGATGCTGGGGCTTGGGAGGTGGGTGGGACGAGCACAGCCTAGGTGCTGACAGGGCCTGGCAGGCTGGCGGGCACAGTTCTTGTGCAAGTGGTCAGTGCCTGAGTGGTCCTACATCAGCAAGAACACCTGAGCCCAGGTTCTCAAGCTCCCAGCATCCCTCCTCTCCATGCTGATGCAACAGAGCCTGGAAGGTTCAAATCACCCAGCCAGGGGCCAGGAGCCGGGCTCCCGGAGCTGAAATTTGGGCTGCACAGCCTGGCCTTGAGCGCACAGTCACTTAATATCTTGTGGCCTCACTTTCCTCCTATGACAGCTGGAGACAGAAGCGCCCCACTCTCAGGCTTTTGTGAGGATGCCACGTAAGAATGCTTGGGAAGCGATGACTTGACACAACGTGTGTGTGAACTGATGACTCGGCACAAGGCCCAGCAGACAGGACGCTTCAGAGGCCTCTGACTTCACTGAGAATCAGGGTCAAAGTCCCTGCACTGGCCTGCAAGGGTCCTGGGACCCGGCCCCGGTGACATCTTACCTCTCTCTTATTTATTTTTATTTCTTTACAGACAGAGTCTTGCTCTGTTGCCCAGGCTGGACTGCAGTAGTGCGATCTTGGCTTACTGCAGCCTTGAATTCCTGGGCTCAAGACATCCTCCCACCCTTAGCACCCTGAGTAGCTGGGGCCACAGGCACGCACTCACATGGTTGGCTAATTAAACAACTTTTTTTTTTTTTTTTTTCCGGTAGACATGGCGTCTTACTATGTTGCTTAGGCTGGTCTTAAACTCCTGGCCTCAGGTGATCTTCCTGCCTGGGCCGCCCAAAGTGCTGGGATTACAGGCATGAGCCAACCCCTGGCCGTTTCTTCTCACTCCCCTCACTCACTCCTTAAACAAACCCTGGCCTCGGGGCCTCTATGCTCACAGCTCCCTCCTGAGCCTCCTCCACAGGTGCCCAGGGCTCACTCTCCTCGCATCTCTGCTGGAACGCCTCTCATTGAACAGGCAGGCGCAGCTCCCATGCCAGGCTGCCAGCCTGGCCCCCTGTGAGGCTGTAACCCTGCACCGCTGCACCCAGAGCTGTGCCTGCTGCCTTGCTTATCTGGCTTGCCTGTCTTCTCCCGTTGGTGTGCGAGGAGCCCCATAAAGACAGCTGCTCTTTTATTTAGGGCTGGCCCCGCACTGGAACAGCGCTGGGCACACACAGGGCCCCCTAGAGACACCACCCCGACAATCCCCGTGGGTGTCTGCTGGGACTGCCACGTGCAGGGCAGCACAGAAACACGCCGTCCTGCAGTTCGGCATGGGTGGGTAGTGAGTTCGCGGGACGGGAGTAGCCACAGGGAGGGAGGGGCCAGCTCCTTCTGCAGGACCCTGGTCCCTCCCATCACCTGCTGCCCCCCTCCAGCCCCTGTGAGGCGAAGCAAAGGGAGCCGTGGAGGAGGACGGGATGGGGAAGGGGAGCAGTGAGGGACAAACTCGGAGGGTGCCTGCTGGGGAACAGGCTGCACATGGCACAGATGTCAGAACCTGCCAAGATGCTTTCGGAACAAACTGGGGTCCCTTGGATTGGGGGAGACCTTGGGGGACGGCACACCTCGGCCCGACTCCCACAGCATCCGAGCACTCGGAGGGCGGGCAGCCAGGCTGGGCGACCACTTACATATGAAAGGTTTCACCGTGCTGTGGATATGCTTGTGCTGCTTGAGGCCGGAGGACGTGGCAAAGGTCTTCCCACAGTCGGGACAGGCGTGGGCCCGGGCGCCCACGTGCTGCGAGCGGATGTGCCGCTGAAGGTTGCTGGGGTCCGTGAACACCTGGGGAGACGGAGGCCGTTGGCTCGTGCCCTGCCTGGACACCCGCCTTGGCCTGGTTCTGGCTGCCGGACCAACCAGCCGTGAGAGCAGGGCCCTGCCTGTCTCCCTTGCCACGTTGCGGTTTGCACCGAGCAGGGACAGGTCTCTGCTGCAGCCAGGACCCGCTGGATGGCCTTAAGTGAGCCACGGAGCCTCCCCAGCTGCTCTCCTCAAGAACAATGACTGAACTGAGGCTGCGTGAGACAGGGCTGCAGAAAGCGCTGTCAGCTGTGGCGCTGCGACCCTGGCGGGCTGGGGGTGGAGGCTCAGCCCCGCAGCCTCTTCCTTCCACACTGGCGGGAGGACAGGAGCCGTGCCCGGGAGGGGCCTGGGTTCTGGTCTCGGCCCTGATCCTTCTGACCTGGGGGACACAGTCTTCCCTGAGACTTCCTTTCCTTCCTAGTAACACGGAAGGGCCCGAGCCACCACAGGGGCCTCCTGCCCACTCTGCTGCACTCCATCTGCATTTGGACCAGGGGGTGTAGGGAGCATGAGAGCGGGCGCCCGTCTGCAGCCTCCCGCTGTGGCGGGGTTCAGATGCGGCTGCCCTGCATGTTACCTTCACGCAGTTTTCACATTCGAAGCGTTTGCCGCTGTCGTGGGACATCTGGTGGCGGATGAGGTTGGACTTCCAGTTGAAGGCCTTGGGGCACTGGTCGCATTTGTACTCACGCTCCTCCGTGTGGATGACCATGTGCTGCTCCAGGCTGTGCAGAGGATGGGGCTTACTGTGGGGCCCAACTACCTACCCTCTGCCCAGGACGGGACCCCAACCCCGCACAGCTTGTTCCCAGTGCCCCTTTGGAGCCCCCACCACACTGCCGGGGGACAGAGCACATGCTGGCGTCTCCCTGCCCACCTCCTCTCTGTGATGGCCGGGGTGTAAGGGGCCGAAGTGGCCTTCCCCTAGCAGATGAGGAAGCCGGCACCTGGACGGTTCTATCCCTCACCCAAGACCACCCCCAGGGCGGCTGGAGGCAGGGCTGGATCCTGGCCCACACTGCCTGGGTGCCTCTCAAGATGGTCCTGACCTTGAGGCTAAGCTTGGGCCTAAGAAAAAGGGGGTTCAATGTTGGCATGAACCCAGGAGTGGGGCAAGTCCCCAAAATCCAAGGACGCCCCTCTGAGTGCTGGGCACACACCAAGGAGGCAGGCCGGGAGTCACTCGGGGGTCTCCAGGTGACACGGAAGGGTGCAGGGCACAGCTGCTCGGAGGGGCCGCTGCACTTGGATGAAGGAGTTGCTCTAATTCCCTGCTCTCGGGGGACCCCCGGCTTCCCCCGTCCCAGGGATGACCGTTAATCTTCATGAGCAAAGAAGTGATATATCACGGCTCGTTAATTACGGGGCCCAGCCATCCATTCAGATCAGAAACGCCTGGTTCCCGAGCATCAGGAGACTGTATCTTTTCCCCTGTTGTTAATTGTGATTTATGTGTTTATGTAAAGAAAACACGGACCCTCTTGAGCGGCGTTTACTGGGAAGGGCCGCAGTCGGGATTTGCCCAAACGCTTATTTTCTCAGTCATCTGTTCCGGGTGGAGGGTTTGCCGTCCCCAGGGAGCGGCGCGGGGATGGGCGGTAATCCCCAGCAATCACATAGGCGGTTAGTGGCCTGATGGGCTTTGCTCTGACTTTGCGAGGCTGTCCTGGAGGAAACCCTCAAAGGCAGGAGGAGGGGCCCATGCTGGAAAAGTCTCCATAGCTCCTTGCAGCACTGGACTGAATGTCCTGGTTTTACTCCCCAGAGAGACCAGGAATCTTGTCGTTCCCAGGTGGTCACAGGTCCCTAAGGCTGCCCAGGTCCCAGATCCTGGCTCCTGCCTGGTCTTAGGGCAGGGGAGGGCCAGTGTGGGCCCGCTCACGTCTCTGAAGCCCCTCCTGGGACAGGCCGCTACCATCCGGTGGGGGAGCAGGGCTGGTGTCTTGGGGATAGGGGTGACCCCTTCCCGCTCTTGCCTACCATCTGAGAGGGAGTCGTTCCTGTGTCCGGAGGGTGGGGCCGCCATGAATCCCTCAGTGGTGGGTGCTGCCACCCCCATCCTGGCCTAGGACCTTATTACAGAAGTAGCCTTGGGCTGAGCGGCTGCAGGTCTCGGCTCTGGCCTGAGTTTTCTCCTTTCTAGTTTCTCCCCATAGCGGGCTGGTAGGCAGGGCCACGAGCCTAGGAGGTGGCTTTCTGGGGCTAGGACATTTGCGGTCAGAGCCAGGGGACACCTGCGGCTCTGGCCACGGGAGCCTGCACCTGCTCTGCAGTGTCCCCCCAGGGGTGCATATCCCCCAGGGTGTGTCCCACTAGGGGGCCCTTTGTCTCCACCTGTTGGGGGGCGAGGCGGGGGAAGGGAGGTGGGGAAGACTCAGAGGAGGGCGCAGCACCTGTACTTGTTGGGGAACATCCGCTCACAGTCCTTGCACTCGTGGGCTTGGCCGCTGCCACCTCCAAGGCCCTCGGGCTTGAGCTCCTCAGCCAGGCCCTCGTAGAGCGCAGCCCCCACCGAGCCGCACGTGTACTTCTTGTGGCGCCGCAGGTCCAGCTTGGACTGAAAGAGTTCGTCACACTCGTCACAGCGGAACGTGGGCTCCTCTGCAAGAGACAGAACGAGGCGGTGGTGAGAGAGCCAGAGACCCAGCCCAGGGCTCCTAGGGGACTCTGGAGACCTGGCCCCTTCACCACGGTGCCCCAGGACCTGCACCCAGGCTGGCCAGCCCTGCTCTGCCTCCTGCCAAGGTTCATCCTGGGGCCCACCAGCCTGCCATGGAAACAGGCATGTGGAGTCCCCAGGGCCCAGCCCTGGGCAGCACCAAAGGACCCCCGAATCTGTGCCTCAGCGGGAGCCCCGAGTGACACCCGGCCCTGCCTGTGCCTCAGGCAGCCACCGTGGGCTGGAGAAGGCCCCGAGCTTGGGAGTGGAGGAGGAAGCCGGGCCAAGTGCTTTGTTTATGAATCAGGAGAAAAACGATGACAGAGCTCCAGTGCATATAATAAATTATTGTCGTCAAGGTCAAACAAATTAAAAGGGGGGCAGCTATTATTAAGTTTACGAGGCAGCATCCTGACCGCCTTGCCAAGCCAAACAACCGGCCTGGAGCTGTCATCCTGGTGGGGGGCTCTGGGCCCGTCCCCGCCTCCCCTGCCTGCAGCAGCTGGGCCGCAGCCTTCCGTCTAAGACAGGAGGCCCCTCCCCGCAAGACGCCTCAGCCCCCAGCTTGGAAAGAACGCTGGCACTGAGCTCTTTCCCAAACGAACTGAACAATGGTGTGTGCACCAGTGTGTGGGTGCACGGGGGCGTCTTGGGTGTGAGCATGCAGCTGTGTGTACACATGTAAGTGTGAATATCAGTGTATCTGCATCCACATTTGTGCACCTTTGTGTGACTGTGTGTGCGTGTCTATGCACTTACACCCATGTTTGTGTGGGGCTGCATGGGTACACATGTGCACGTGTGTGAGGGTGTGTGTTCCTGCATGCACCTACATGTGTGAATATTTGTGTTTACTGGCATGTTTCCATACCTGCACATGTGTGGTTTGTGTATGCCTTTGTGTTTAGGTATGTGAGCACCCGTGTGTTCATGTGGGTGCATAGTGTGAATGCATGTGTTTCTGTCTGCATGTGTGTGCATTTGTGTTATGTATGCATAAGTGCATATTATACATATATGTTTGTGTGCATGGGTGACCGTGTATTATGTGTGCATGTGTGTTTGATGTGCACACATGTGCGTGTGAACGTGTGTGAACATGCACATTGTGTGTTGACCTGTCTGTGTGTGTGTGTGCGCCAATGGGTGTGCAGTTGTGCACATGTGAATATGTGTACACATGCTTGTATATGAATGTGCATATGCTAACGTGCATGTTTGTGTTTGTGTGCATGTGATGTGTGTGTGCATGTGATCTGTGTGTGTGCATTTGTGTGCTTGTGGGAATGTGTGTTTGGGTGTGTATGCATGTGCACAAGGACTGACCCAGTGCCCAGCGCTGAGCAGAGTCTTAATGAACTTGGTCTGAACGTTGGCTCAAAGGCCTGAACCTAAGGATTGCTGAGGAGAGGAGGGGATGGGGGCAGATGGAAGAGGGCCGTCGCTTCCTGTCCCCTCCCTGTGTCAGAGAGACCATCATGGTCATAGGCCCTTAGAGTCCTAAGGAAAGGGTGGGCTGCTTTGCAGTCTGGGCAGTGCGGGGGTTGCCAGAAGTGGCACCTCCTTGCTGACTGGAAGCTTCCCTGAGCCTAAGGGTGTAGATGCTGCTATTTGGCCTAGGCCACCCCAGCACCCCTGGCGAGTCCTCAGAGCCTGGCTCCTTGAGCCTCAGGTGCCCAGGTGGGGATTCCAGCAGGGTGCTGGCCCTGAGAGACCACAGCAGGCATACTGGATGGCACCTCCCCCCCCCACCCTTGCCAACCAAGGCACAGACACCAGCTCTCCAGATGTGATTTTCACTGCTGTCTTTGGACAGAGGTGAGTATCTGGCTGACAGGGAAGGGGTGCCTGGCCGAGAGGAGCCCCGGGGGTGTGTGCGCTGGGGGTGAGTGGGCGGGCACCACTGCCGGTCAAGATGCGTGAAACACTGAGATTTCGTTCTCAGCCGGTGTCCAGGTGTCCTGGTCCTGCTCGCTAACCTGAACCTCAGGAAAGCACTGGTCTGGGGGAAAACAAGATCATGAAGGGAAAAAAGCCAGAGGATTCCCAGAGCCTGCGTAGTCCACTTCCCACAGGACTGCCGTCCACACCTCAGCTCTGTTCTCTGGGGCTTGGAAGCCTCCGTCCCAAACCTCTCCGGGGAAGGCTGCCACTCAGAGCTTCCCAGATGCTCGCTGAACAAACCAAACCCACCTAGGAGCTGCCAGGAGGGATCCTCAGATGGAGGGATCCTCAAACAGGGAGCATGGACTGGGGGGATCCTCAGACAGAAGGGGTCCTTGGACGGTGCACAGACTGGGGGGATCCTTGGACAGGGTGCACAGACTGGGAGGAGGTGGGTGAGAAATACTCACCCCAGAAGTCTACAAAATGCCACCTTGAAATGTGATTCAGGCCTGCAGATTGTTCAGAAAGTGCTCAATGTGCAAGTCATGTGGGCGGCAAGGCTGACCCCTGGGGTCTGGTGGGAGCCCCACGTGGCAGGTCCTGTCCTCAGAGCTTAAGAGAATCCGGGCACTGAAGCCTTGCACGGACCTGCGAGCACCCAGGGAAGGGCGATGGTATTCGCATGCCCGCTTCAGAACTGGCAAACTGAGGCTGGGCGAGACTGAGTTGCTTTTTCAAGGAAGAGGTGGGCCTGAAGCCTGCCCATGGTTTTGGGGCCCAGGAAGCAGGGCTGGCAGGGCCCCAATTTCCCACTGAGGGTTTTGGGGAAAGTGAGGTGAGCCTGTGACAGAGGGATGCTCACCGTCACGCCCTCTCAGGCCTTCCCTTGTCTTCAGAAATTGGGATTTTCACTGGGGAACAAGCCCTGCAGATCTCGGCACCAAGACCACTGCGGAGCACAGCCAACCCGCAGACCCGGGAAGCTGCCTGTGGGTGGATTCCAACGTCCCCGGCTGGAAGGAGGCTGAGATGGGGGCCTCCAGCCAGCATCGTGATTCAGTTAGAAATGCCAGCTTTTATTTTACTCTTTCTGGACCCAGTGAAGAACAATCACAGAAGTTGAAATTTGAAAACAAAGACAAGAAGAAATGCCAGCCCCACCTACTCATATTACTGACCAACTTATTTTTTCCAGTTCTCATTTAGAATTTGGGATGAAAATAAAAATTTAGATTGCAAGTGAGAATCCAGTCTGATTCTCACTCCAATGGCTTTGGAGGGTGCCCTGGACGTGATGGATAGGACTTCAGTGACCATCCCTGCCCTGCTGCTCCCTGCCCCCAGCCCTCCACGGACGGAGCTGGGCCCCCATCAGAGGACAGGGCCGGGGACAGGACACACCTGAGCCTGGCCTGCCCTTACTGAGTGGTGTGGATGGGTCTCCCGGCTGTCTTCCAGGCAGGTAAGGCTGGCCCCGAATACACCCCTAGGGCTCGTGGAGGGGCCGGAAGCGGGGGTAGTTTATGGCATTTTCACTTTCTCGGCACAAGAAACTTCTGCCTTAAAGAAATGCTGAAAGAACACGACCTATTCTGATAATGTTTCCCATCTTCTTATCTCTGATCTCACGATCTGGCTGGCTCTGAGCTCATTCGCTCTGTGCCCCGTGCATTGCCTCCTCTTGACCTCTTCTGGAGAGAGGAAAAGCAAATTATCAGGAGGCTCTCTCAAAAGAAAAGCGTATTGGAATGGAAGTAACTTTCTTTATTTTCTCCCAAGAGCAAAAAGTTCTCACGAAAGAGAATTCTTTCGTCTCCATTGTAAGTGTAAAAACAAAACACAAAGTCAAATGCATCTGAAAGTGGCTTCCCCATGGTCTGAGTCACTTGTGTGAAAATGGGCCTTGCATTCCTGACAGAGCCGCAGCTCTGCAGAGGGAATGTGTCCAGCCCCGGGACTGCGGGGCAGAGGCTTGGTTCTCCCGAAGCAGGTTGGCCCCCAAGGGTCTCCTGTGTCTTCTTCGCTACCTGAACGTGGTCTCCAGCCAAGCCCTCTTCTCCCAACAAAAGCGCAAAAAACAGTGATCGGAAATGAAACTCTCTTCATCTGGCGGGGGTGTGTGAGCTGCTGTACAGCATCCACCTGTCACCTACGCCAGCTGAGCCAACGCCGTGGTGAACTCACATCTTGTTTGTCATATCTGCGCCTCGCTTGCCTATCTGAAGTTCCATCAGCAACTTTCATGGCAGAGCAGGAATGTAACAGAAAAATAAATCAGTGCCTAATGGCCCCGGAGAGCCGAGGGGTTCACAATTATGTGGCGTCTATGTACTAATCTACCAGACTCGAGGCTCAAAGGAGCTCGAGAGCCTCCTCCAAGTTCCTGCAGTGATAAGGGGCTGGCTGCATTGAGCTGGGGTTGGGATAAAAGATTTTTTATGATAATTATCTTAGTGAGGAACATTTTTGCATTTTCTTTCTGTGCGATTCAGAGTTTAACTGGTGGGGGAGGCGGTTACTGGGGAAGCATGATCTTGACAGGAAAGAGGAGGGAAAGTCAAATATTTGATGTTGGGCTATTATGTGTGGCAAGCAATTAGCCCACAGATGTTTGATAAATTATTAGGAAAATGTAGACCCAGGTTATTTAATATCGGGGCTGGAGGGGAGTGGGGAGCAGAAATCAAGGTTTTTAAAAAACCTTTTGGAAGAAAGAAATTTCATTGTACAAATGAAATTCCATAGTCAAGCACTCTCCTTAAGTCAAGTAGATTTGTCTCTTGGAGCTCTTGTGTGCTATCTGAGATTCATAGATCTTTTCAATAATTATTTTAAGGAAAATGAGGCCTTCCTCCCTGCTACCCAGATCTCAGCAATTTATTTTTCTTTTCTCGACGGCCTAAATAAAACCAAACTTTAGAGGACAGTGCAGATAGGCTTCCGCTTGTTAAACTGTCATTCTGTGGTCATTTCCTTTCGGACACTCAGGGACATGAACGGATACTGCACCAAGGAAGGACCCCGCTAGCTGGGCCATGCTCGGTGATGGAAAGGGTAAATGAAGGCAGAGTTCTCCATGTCTGGTCTCAAAGCTTTCCTGCTAATTCCAGCACCATTCCGTCACCGTGAAATCAGAGTGGTTCCTTGGAGAAACTTGCAGTGAACCGCATTAATCATTAAGCCTTGGTGTGTTTGGAGGGGAGGTCCAAGAAGCAAGCAGGAAAACTCAGCCTCCCTTCAGGCTGCAGCACCAGCAGGAATCACCAGCTCCGGAAATGGCCAGGAGGGAGCTTGCGTTCCTATTCACTTGTGGGGTCTCACCCAAAGAAAAGCAGTTAGGCTCGAACTCTGGAGCCGTCTGCTCAGAGGGACCGGCATGGAGCCGATGGGCCAGGGCCCCGCTGCCCACAGAGCCTTTCCTGGCCAGCTGTTCCAGGACCCCGTAGGGGAATGGACGCATGGCTTCATGATGTGACCATCCCTGCCCTGCTGCTCCCTGCCCCCAGCCCTCCATGGACGGAGTTGTGCCCCCATCAGAGGACAGAGCCGGGGACAGAGGAATGAGCCTTCATCTGGGAAGAGCTCATCTGTGTCGGGCTGGAATTTTCTCAGGCATCCTCTCAGCTGTACTTGGGTGCAGAGGAAGGTGAAAGGGAAACTCACTTGTCCCGTCTCTACTCGACAGAGGGGGGCTGGCCGATCTAGGGAAAAGGAAATTCGGAAGGCTTCCCACAGCCCAGTCCGGAAGAGCAGGGCAACTCCGCATCACTGTGAGACCCACCTCAGACCCTGCATTTTCCCTCTGCCGAATGAAACTTCCCCTCACACTTCTCTTGGACTTTTAGCTACAGATGCACATTTTGCTTTGAAAGACACACATGCCATCATCTACTCTCTTCAATGAAACAAAATCTTTCCACAGCACAGAGAGCTCTGGGGCAGCCAGAAATGCTTCGAAGCTACAGAACTGGCTCGGTGTTTGTTCGTTTAAGTTCCGGGGAAAGCAAAGGCTGCTGTTGCTGCTGCTAATAAGAACAATAGCAATAATAAAACATAGTTTAAAAAAATCACCTGGGACCCTAACACTGCAAAGCTGTCATCCACTGGGTATCAGTTCGCCCACTGCCCGAAGCCCTTCTTAAATTCTGGGTGCACCTCCTGGGTGCCCCAGGGAAGAGGAACAAGAAAGCCATTAGGTTGAGCCTTTGTGGGGGCAGGCAATTTCTGCCGGCCTGGGGTCTGCAAAAATGGAGGCACCCGGCAGTTGGGGGCCGCTTGGCCCTCATTAGGTGGCTTGAGGTGATGAGAGGCCCTGGGTCCTCCCAGGCGTCTGCTCCTCTTCCAGGTGGGCTGGGGTCTCCCAGGGGCCGTGGCCCAGTTCGGGGGAGGGGTCTTACCGTCCAGGCAGGGCGGCACTGTGCCCAGCGGGTAGACGCCTTCCTTCACGTGCACCAGCAGCTCCTCACCTGGCTCAATGTCCTTAATGACTTTATAGTAAATCTAGGATGGAGAGACCAGAGAGAAAGGGTGAGTGTGGTTTGCTGGTGTCTAGAGAGCCTCTCAGTGCACACTCAGCCCTCACACTGTGGACGCAGCTCAGCCTGCACTTGATTTTCCTCTAATTGCCACCAAGAGGGTCTCCTCTGGAACTTTTGCGGAGTATGCACAGAAGGAATTGCGTCCCCTTTTAATTTGCTTTATTGGGTTTTAGGATATTCATAAAGGGGGTGGCTGACTAAATAGGTAGGATCCGCATCAAAGTTCCCAGCTGGGGGTGTCCTGGGGGCACAGCAGAGCCCTGCTTCCACCAAGAGCCCACCTGGGTGGGTTCTCAAGTTTCTTTTGTTCAATTTCGTGTATGTAAGTGAGACACCCTTTGCCAGTGGTGGTGGGGGACGGGGAGCTCAGGGTGTGGAGTGAATCTGGTTGTTTCTGAAAGTGGCCATGAGCTGAGCCTGGCCAGTGGGTCAGGACACGGGGCTGTGGTTCTTCCATGAGTGGGGATGCCATCAGCCAGGATGGCTGGGGTGGGCAGGACTGTGTGCCCACTGTCAACTTGGCGCCTTGAGGCTGACCCCACAGGCGAGAGTCTGGGATGGAGGACACCCTTGAGAACTGGTGGGCTCAGGTAGATTCTGCAGCCTGGTCAAGCCCTGGGGGCGAGGGGACCTCCATTTGGAACTCCACTCACTGAGCAGTGCTGTTGGGGGCTGTGTCACCGTGGCTTGCCAGGGGCCTCCTGAAAAGAGGAGGTTGTCTTGGGGTGTGGACGTGGTGGTCGAGATGAAGAAAATTAGAAGCTCAGAAAGGGGAGGCTGGGCCATCTGAGGCCTGGGTCAGGGCGTGGGCTGTGCCGCCAACACCAGAAACCCTGCGTCTTTGGTCTGGGAGTGTCTGGTGGTAGGTGTGTTTCTCTTGGGGGAATCATTGCCCACCCCGCACATGTGGGTGTTTGAGACTCTCTTCTGATCACAGTAACTGGGGAGCTTCCAGGGACCTGCAGGCCTGGCCGGAGGACTGGCTGCGAGGCTGGGGAGAAGCCCAAGGGAAATCCACCTGCCCCTGCGGGATCTGGGGCTGAGGCTCCTCCAAGAAAACAGAGTGGTTCTAGACTCAGAAAGGGAAGAGCTCCCAGGGATGGAGGGGACACGGCCCTCCTTGTGGGTGACACTCCCATCCCCACTGACCATCCTGTGTCAGGCCAGGCTCTCCAGCAGCTGGACCTGGCTGGGGTCTGTGGCTGGACACAGCTGGCCACCCCCAAGACAGGGCTGGGCATGGCCCCTGCATGTTCCTTCCCATGACCCCCACATTGTGGATTTCACTACAGTCTGCCAGTCCCAACTGACTCCAGAATGACACCAAGGAACCCTCAAAGGACACACAGACGCCACAGCATGACTGTAACGCCCAGTGTCTGTTACTCCCAAGACACCCAGACAGGAACTGCACGCAGGAGGATAGCAGGCGCACAGCCTCCCTCAGCAGTGTGTGAAGTTCCCTTAGGGTGCGTCACGTCACAAGTTGCTAAAACTATGAGGAGATGTAAAAGTGGAGAGGAGAAATTGGCCCACGGTAACTTCTTCAATTAAACCCATTGTTATTAGGACCCCAGTTTTGTATCATCTTATCAAAAAATAAAATCACACAGTGGCTGAATAATTGTCTCTTTTTCGAAAAAGAAACTTGAGCCACTGTATTAGAAAATTGGACCCAAAGTGCAGGATGAGAAGCGCCAGCTGGGACAAAGCCCGGGTGACCCTGTGAGCCGTGCTGCGGGTGGCATTGTAGCAGACACAGGTGGAAGGGGCTGCTGAGTGTCCGGCCTGGCTGACGCCCCTGGGGCAGGTGGCCTGGCCCGGGCACTGGGCAGGAGAGAGGAGGGTCAGCGGGCGCATCGGAGGCTTCTCAAGGGTCCCTGTTAGAGGGTGATGTGGACCCTGGCCTCCGGCCCCTTGGCTCCAGGCTGCACCCCCCCAACATGGAGGGTCCTGATGTGAGACCTCTGGCATCCTCCGGCCCACCCCGCTGCTCAGCCCCACTCCAGTGGCGGGCAGAGGGCTGGTGGGCAGACGGGGGCTGGGCGCGGCCCTCCTGGATCCTCCGCCTGGCCCCCTCCGAGACTCCCCTGACCCCCGCCCCCAACCCATCCCCTCTCTGAAGCCCACAGACACTCCCAGGACACCGCCCAGACTCCCTTCTCTACACCCTACCCTCCCAGGGCAGCCAGATCTCCTGGGATGCCCCCCACCCAAGGGTGCTGGTCCTCCAGGGATCCCCCACCCCAGCTCCGAGGGCGCCAAGCCTCCCTCCTCTGATCCACGGGGCTGCGGAAGGAAACCCCTTCCCCCCTCTTCCGCCAATCCGAGGGCCCCCGTGTCTCCTGGGACCCCACTCGGGCTCCGAGGGCACCAGATGGGCTGGGAGACCCTGCCCTCCGGCGCAGACACTGCCCTGGAGCCGCCGCGGCGGGAGGGCGGCTGGGCCGCGGGCGCCCCCTCCCTGGCCCGGGACCTGCAGGAGGAGGGCGCCTTGGCCACGGAACTTGGAGCCGCAGTCGGAATTAATCGCTATTATTGCTGATCGCAGGGCCCGAGGCGGGGCGGGGCGGGGCGGGGGTCCCCGACCTGCCTCCAACTGCTTTGGGGGTCAGAGGTGAACGGGAATCCGCGCAAACTTTTCCGAAGTCGCAGGCCCCGCCCTTGCCAGCGGCGCTGAGGTGCAGACAAAAGCCGGCTGCGTTTTTACAGCCTGTCCCCGGTGTCACAAAGGCCTTATCAGCCAGACGCGCCGAGAACGCCACTGTTCCTGGCCGGCGGGGTCAGGCGACTTCCCGGGACAAAGGCCGGCTGCGGTGGGAACCGGGCGTCTGCGGACCCAGCCTGGGCCGGCTCCTGGCTCGAGGGCGTCACAAATTGCGCATTTACTGTACTGCAGGCCCCTTCCTGCAGGGCCTGTCATAAATTATGACTGCAGCTCCCTACACATTCCTGCCGTCTGCTTATAATCCTCCTTCCTTGTGCGACCCGCGGTGGGTCCTGCTCAGACCGCACTAAGGCAGCATGGTGGGAGAAGTTTGTTCAAGCAAAAATAAAGTCTGGAGTTTCTGATAGCCTTTAGCCCCCAGCAGCGGCCTCAGGGAGGGGGACTGGCCCCCAGAAAGGAAGAAGAACAGTATATTTTCTTAAGCGACAGCATCTAAGCATCTATGCCTTTTTATAAACACTTGCGTCCGCTACGCTGTTGAAGTCGTGCCTGAGTCCCCGGGTTGTGTTGCACCGGCAAGGCTGGAATTTTCTCTTTGGTTTAAGGATCTGAGAGGGTGGGGAACCCTCTTAACAACAGCTGAGTTTACTAGCGCCAATAAATGTCTGCTCTAAATGGCTTTAAAAAATAATGACGCCAAACAGACTGGATTTGAAGTTAAGTCCTTGTTCCAACACTTCAGGTTCTCTTTGTAACAACAATGACTTGACTGAACACGGGTGAACCACACGAAACACGGGTCCTCGGAATTCAAACTGTATTTAGCATGACCCTGCCTATTTTCTCCCCCTTTTATCACTTTCCAGACACAAAGTGGCGGCTTCTTGTAGGTAAGCGGAGTTCTGGGACAAATAAATGGCCACGTTCTCAACAGAAGGCAGAGAAATTGCCTGCGAAAAGCCTAGAGTCAGGCTGGGGTTTCGGGGTGTGTCAGCGTTCATTCAGGCGGAGCCTTTTATGAAAATTCATATCATTGCTCCCCCGCAATATTCTTTAAGACACAGAAATCATTTAAATGTACAATGGCTGCCAGCTTTGGGATACCTTCTCCTTACAGGTCTTTAAAGAAAGCTTTTTAAAATATCAAATCAATTCACAAGAAAAGAGACGACTTTCGAATATGAAGCTCTAAGTGGTACGGTTTTCATTCCCGCTTAATCATAGGATTTAACAATATACATAGACGAAAAACTCCACGTAAATGCCACCAGGAGGGAATCACCAGACTGCAGACTAAAAGGCACTGGGGGGAATCTGAGCAGCGGCTCTTCCTGTTTTCTCTTTCCTGGAGTAAATGAATTTTTTCCATCAAGCGAACTTTTGGGCTTTCTTGTCTCTTTTGGACCAGTATAAGAAACTTTAAAGGCAGGCTTGAATCAAATAGGTGAACCCTGCTTCCATGTGCTTACTGGAAAAAAACTCAATCGCTCACCATTCTGGATTTCAGAATTCAACTGTGCTTGAGTTTGCTGTGCGAGAGGCTTTTCTCACAAAACATGTGAAAGCAGCCAGTGGAATCGAAATTCTTCCAAAACCGTCTCCCAAAAGCAAATTCCCCTGGTGACCCAGTCTGCCTCTCACCTGGCCTTGGGAGAGAGAGAGGACGTTGGTCTGAGGATTGTCCCCTGCATTTTGGTTTTAGCTCTCGGGACCTCCCCCGGGGCGAGGCGGCTGGGTCTCCGCGCTGCTCCCGGCTTCATTTTAACTCCTTGCTGTCTCCACGCGCTGTGAGTGTGGGAAAGCGCTGTGATCCCCCCAGCCCCGAGGCTGGCCCAGAAGCTGAGCATGTAGTGGTGATGGTGCTCTAAATGCCAGCAGGGCCAGCGCCCCGATTTGCAGTGCTGGGGTATGGACAGAGGTCTCTTTTCTCCCTCCCCTGTGCATGCCTGTGCTCACGAGCCTGCCTCTGGCCGGCCTGGCTTCCCAGCTTCCCGGCTTCCTCCGTGCTAAGCGGCTGGAGGAGACCACAATCAGGCTCCCAGACTGCAGACAGTCCTGTCCTCTGGCAGAGCGAGGAAAAGCCCGCTGGAGTCCCGGGCTTTGCCACATTCTTCTCCTCCCGCACACGGCTGAAGCATTTTTATTAAGCCTAAGTTTTATGATTGTGTTGTGTGCGATATGCCGTCACCTTCCCAGCGATCAGACACGAAATAAAACTCTGTGTACACTTATCTGTTTCTAGTTGTGTGGTTTGGATCTGGATTATAAAAATGTAAAGGACGGGTCCACAGTTA